AAAGTGTTCTTTAAAATTTTCTGTGAATCAGATAAATTGAAAACTCTTGAAACCTCCCCCCAAGAGGTGAATAAAACAGAAGCACAGAGTTCAAACACCGTTCCATTAATTAATAAATACGTGGATCCAGTGCGATCGATATTTCGAAGACACGGTTAAATTAAAAAGCTCGGATCGCGGAAAATTTCTCTTTCTTTTGCTCGCGGAAAATTTCTGATACCCAGCGACAAAGTGTTCTTTAAAATTTTCTGTGAATCAGATAAATTGAAAACTCTTGAAACCTCCCCCCAAGAGGTGAATAAAACAGAAGCACAGAGTTCAAACACCGTTCCATTAATTAATAAATACGTGGATCCAGTGCGATCGATATTTCGATATCTAATCGGAAATATGAATTACTCGAACGATGAATATTTTCGGCGTGTTTCACGGCGATGAAACATTTCATCGAGATTTATCTCGAAGACACGGTTAAATTAAAAAGGTCGGATCGCGGAAAATTTCTCTTTCTTTTGCTCGCGGAAAATTTCTGATACCCAGTGACAAAGTGTTCCTTAAAATTTTTATGAATCAAACAACCCAAAGGGAAAAATAAATTAAAAACTTTCGGGCGCCCTCCGAGAGGTAAATAAAACAGAGGCACAGAGTTCAAACACCGTTCCATTAATTAATAAAATCGTGGAGCCAATGTAATCATCTCGTCGCATGTTCTATTACTCAGGTTAAATAGCTTTGTCGGAATTGCGTCTCATCCGTCTCTAAAGTTCTGGATCCAGGCTGGAACAAGAGACCTTTCCAGATAACAGTCTGCTCCCTCAGAGGGTATCGTCGTAGGTTAAGGGTAGTGATGGCCTCAAGTATACCACAAGCGAATCTGAATCACTTTCTACGAGTACTTTGGGAGATGAAAAAAAAAATTACTGGCGAGTGGAGTCGAATATCGAATCTTCGAATGGATCCGATTTTCTGCTCCACAGAATTTCAATCAGCAAAATGAAACTTGTAAAAATCCTTTCTTCCGTCGTTTACAATCCCGGATTGTTATTTTTTTTTTTTTTTTATATTATATTATGGGGTTTAGAGTCGCTAAAGACTACGAGGTCTTTAGCGACGTGCTGGAATTTTCTCTTTATGTCTGGTCTAGTAGTTGATAACGTTTTTTTGTTGTTTCTGGCAGGTTAGAGCGGCGTTTTGGTTCAATCCGTATTTACATCTTTGGTTTCGGTATTTTCTGCATTCATGTAGCAGGTGTTGGGTGGTGATTTGTTGGTTGCAGGTGTTGCAGAAAGCTGGTTCTGTTTTGCTTAGGAAGTATTCGTGTGTGATCTCGGAGTGTCCGATTCGATGTCTAGTCATAGCTATCCTTTCTTTTCTGCTTATATTGTTGTTTGGTATTTTTTGGTAGAAATGGTGTGCTACGTCGTGTATTTTCGTTCTATTCGTCGTAGTCCAAATTCTGTTCCATTCTTCTCTTTCAACTTTGGCTCGTTGAAGCTAGTAGGTCTTGGTGTAGGATTGGGATGCTGGATTCGTTTGTTCGGTCAGTTGTTGCTTCTTTGGCTAAAGAGTCGGCTTTCTCGTTTCCTTCTATTCCTTGGTGTAACGAGACCGGATTGTTATTTCTATATTCCTCGTTAGATTCACAACGAATGACCTTCTGACCCTTGACATTCGACTGCTACACGCCAGAGATACTCGAATATCGAAACAGCATGTGTAGTCGTGCGAGTAAATTTTCGAACATTCGTGGAAGTACTTGTCCTCCGGTAATCCGAAATCAGATGATCTTGTGAAGATCGAATAATTCAGCAATGGTGCAACCAACGAACCGTCATAATTTATTTGTGCTGTCCCACGAAGTACTATTAACTTGGTCCCATCGCTAGTTAAGGGTAGTCAAGCGAGACTTCGTCTTCTTTCTTCCCACGTGTAACTTCCGTCCAGACAAAACGCAAGTTCGTATAGGTGGCGGCCGAATGGGGATAGGTAGCCTCCTGAAGATTGCAAAGGGCAATTTCCACCGACAATGTGGTCCACTTTGTTCCACGCATGATGCGTGCCCTTTCTCTTGGCATTCACGCGTAAGGGTCGGCCACGACGATGGGACTATATACAGTGTCTCTTTTATTTTTTCGGATACGCCCTTCGTCCTGCAAAAGCGAGCCCCCTTGCATCGCCGGTAAGGGTCGAAGGGGACTGAAGGGTCGAACGAAGTGAAAGAGGGAAACTGGCGCGTTCTCTCAAGTTCCAAACGAGTCGGAACCAGGCTTCAAGGGAAGCAGTTTCGAAAATTTCCAATCATTCAGCCGTCAATTTTTTCTAAATAAGCGAGGAAGCATTATCGGCGATTGTTCTTCGCGAGAGAAATCTTGTCGAGGAGTGTAATTAAGATTCCAAAAGGCCAGCCTCGATGGAAAACTGGAACACATGGCGCGGAAAAGGTCGTGCAAGAGGCAAACAGAAGGCTACCGTTCCAGAAACTCGATCAAGCTTTAAGGACCTTATTTGAAATTGATGCACGCGGTTGCAGTCGACCGTGCTATCCATTTGCCATCCAGCCGCGAGAATCTTCTCCGTTGGTTTCCTTAGTCAGGTTGCTTGCTATTTTGTCAGGTGACGGGCTTGAAATAGATACTTGGCCTCGTTCGTCCGACACGTCACGCCATGAAAATATAGGTGTGCGGTACTTACAATTGGACGCGCGTGGCGCATATTAGAATACGGCTGTTAGAAATGCACGTCAGATACAAGAATTGTCTCTTCCCCGCGAGACAGAAGGATAGAAATGTGCGCGGAACTGCATCGCGCGAGATGCATCTCTTTAACATCGTGGTAATCAATCGTTCAATTTAATCGAACGAAGAACGTACCCAAATATTTCAATTGTATATTTTATATGCACCAACGTTCGAAACTAAAGCGGATAGTAATTTAGTTGTAGAAATGATAAATAAAATGATTCTGAAGTTTATTTAACTTATCTAAGAGTTGCAACATGATAAAATTTAATATATAATTCAAATATATAATTTTTCATTATCTATCTGTATTAGCTATAGGTAAGATATCCTTCCAAAGTGGAAAGATTACTGTGATTTAGATAATTATGGCAGTAACTATTTAAAATCAACTGATACTTTTAACGAGTAATTTTACATACATAAAAGTTGAAATGTTCCAGGTGAAATACGTGTATACGTATACATATATAATACATTATTAATACAAATGGATCAAATGTATTTATAAACATATCCTACATGTTTCGAGTTTTAATAATTTTTTGGCCATCAGCAAAGTCACATAAAAGTTATAAATAAAGAAAAATAAATTTATATAATACTTTCTCGTGTGATCTCTAATTATAATCGCCCTCCTTCATTGGTACTCATAGCACCATCTATGAGGCATGAACGAAATCGTTTTTACTCCCTGCAGAAAACAATCACCGGCAAATGACAAAGCAGATATACTTTATTTATGTAGGTAATTCCGTATTTAATGTTCTGAAATACCGACTTCAGAGAGTAAAAAAAATTGACAGAAGAAAAATAAAATTAAATCCTAAACTATAATTATAACACTTACAATGTTTCGTGTTAAGTTCCTACTTTAAAGATGCTCTATCTAACCATGAATTTAACTTAATTTAAATGTACCTAATTAAGAATTTAATTTTAAAAATTCCTATAAATTAATTTTAAATTAATTTTAAAAATTCCTATAAATTTCTAACTGGAAATCTAAGTCTCTAACAATATTTTCAATAATAAACTATAGTGAACTCATAATGAACCGATAGTAAAACGTTTGGTGATGGCTCAAAAAAGAAGAAAAAGGAAAACAGAAATATATGTGACTCACGATTAGATCTGAAGAACGTTGTCATCGAGGAGAAGTTATCGCGAAGGAGGAATGAAGTTTGGAAGAAATCTGCAAAAAGCAGGAAATATAATAACCTATTGTAATAATATTACAATAATATTAAAACTCTATTCAAAAATTAATAATAGTAATAACAAGATATATGAACATCGATTGTTAGAATTTCAAATCTTATTTCGTACTAATCAAATATGGCGCGCTTTTATTGTCAGTTGGCGCGCTTTTATTGTCAGTTGCCGCGTAAAAAGCGAAGCTGCGCAGTAATCAAAAAATGCGATGCGCAGAAGTTCAAACTTGTTCGTGATTGTTAAGAGCATAAATTAATCAAATAATGTTACCTATTATACAATAAAAAGAGAAAACAAGCATATAAATACGCCTGTTTTCATTAAAACAAATCAAATGCTACTATACCTTCATGAAAGGATGTCAGCTTCATCACTAATCTTTGAATCTCACGGCGGCCTTCTAACACATTACATTTGCAATCATCCACCAATCTGTACAAAAGAAAGGGGAAACTTTCAAATAAACATATAAAAAAAAAAACAAATTACATAAGAATAAAACAATGATGTGTCAAGAATGAAACAGTCAAATGTTTGTTTTAAAAGCTCACAATACGATGCAAGAAAGAAGGACGACTTAGTTATAAATTATAGCAATATTCGATGGATTATTAAGTAAAAACGTACGCAAAATAAACGTAGTTAACAAGCAGCGTGGATGTGAACATTAGAAGGAAGACGATGAAAGTATTGCACAATTAATAAACGCGACGCGAAACGACACGTATCGACAACACGACTTTCAACCGTAGACTAACCCCGCGCAACAAGTTTACGTCACGAGCGCGTGGGGTGGGGGTACGAACGCAGCGAATAGGATTCGCTGATTTATGGAAAAACAAAAATATTCTACGAGAATATTATAAACAATAAGAATTTTAAAACCAGCGACTTGCACAGAGAAATATTTTTTATTTTTTCCACGAAATACTAATATATTATCAATAGATCTGAATTAAAAGAGAAACCAAAATATTAATCACATTTACTTATTCGACGTAGAAGAATTTAATTTTTTTCGATTATTCATGTTTCAATATTTACTTTCTTCAATATAGTACACACATATATGTTCATGTATCATAGCCTGTGTAGTAGTAGTACGTCAATTTCACCACAATAGTTCTGTATATTACTACAAGAGGGCAGGACAAATAATCTTGAGACATACATTGTCATAATTGTATTAAACTAAAAAGAATATTAGAATAAAAATTAATGAATTAAGGAATTAAAGATTTTAACTATTGTAATTTATAAATGTTGAGATTGTTTAAATGTAAATAAAAGTATGAGTACACAGAGAGGAAATTCTAACCGATCAAGACCACAAAAATATCAGAATCAGACTGCTTTTAAAAATGATTTACATGACAAATCAAATAAAACAAAATGTATTAATAGCATAGAAGTTGCGCACGTATGTGAGAAATGTAAGAAAATAATTGAATGGAAGATCAAATACAAAAAATACAAACCTTTAAAAGCAGCTGCAAAATGTATCAAATGTGAACAGAAAGCAGTAAAACATGCTTATCACAATATGTGTTTATCTTGTGCTGCGGAATATAAAGTGTGTCCAAAATGTGGCAGTAAAGGTGACATTATTAAAGCAGAACCTAGTAAAGAAGAAATTGCAAAATCAGATGTGGAGTTACAGAATTTGCTCAAAGGATTATCTGAGAGGAAACGTAGAACGTTCATACGTTACATGAATAACAAAGGTATTTTAATTATAATGTAATATTACATATATCAAGAATATATATAATGTAATATTATGTATATAAGTACAATAAATTGAAATGTATATTATTTTTCAGCTACAAATAAGAAAAGGAAATCCATCAAAGAAAACAAAGAGGAAGATACAGATGAAGAGGAGGAACAAGAGAATAACTGTATTACAAAAGATGCGTTGTCCAAAGAAAATTTGTTATTAAAATTAAAATCCCTAATGATTAAAGATGATGATGATAACTCGGATATTGATAATGATAGTGACTCAGATTTGTTTTTGTAGAAAAAATAAAACATTTATACTGTAAAAAATAAAACATTTATAATATATTTTATACTTTTTGAATATATTTACAACAACCTTGTCAATATTTCGATAACGTAATTGATGAGTTGCTTTTATAAAAGAAAGAAAATTTTGGTTAAGTGTGCAATATAAATTTTGTAATTTTTATATCGATTTACATATCGATATTGGAAAGCTCATTTCACGTGATAACATAACCTAAGGCGTGTACATTATAAACAACAGTATATTTGAAACATTTGTATACATCAAGAAAGAGTAGTGAATTTCGCTCTCGTAACATAATTATTATCAATTGTATTTCAGTGCTGAAACTTTTATTATAATTACAAATATGACATCGGCAATAGAATCTATGGTGGTAGATGAAAAGCAATTGCCAGAAAAGCCCATAGACAGAGAAAAAGTACGTTTCATCAAAAATACAAAATATATCAATTAAAAATTTTTCAAATTCTAATCAAATTGCTCATATTATCGTGTAATTTGTTTTAATATTGTAACATTACATTTTTAGACATGTCCACTTTTACTCCGAGTATTTTGCAATACAGGAAGGCATCACAATATAATGGAATATAGTAGAGGAAATGTTCCTTCAAATGAGTTACAAATATATACATGGTAAAATGTTCTTTCTATAGGTATTTAAATTTGACAAAAACAAAAAAGTAAAAATATTTATAAAATCTTTACTTAATGCATTTACAGGATGGATGCAACTTTAAGAGAAATTACAGGATTAGTAAAAGAAGTAAATCCAGACGCTAGAAGCAAAGGAACATACTTTGATTTTTCACTAGTAACACCAGAATTAAGAAATTCTGGATATCGTATGAGAGAAATTGGTGTTACTTGTTCTGGGCAAAAGGGTGCAGATGATAACAAGACACTTGCCCAAGCAAGGTATGCCTTCTTATAAATAAAGTAAATCCTAAATAAACTGAACTTATTTTCACAATTACAGATTTACAATTGGTGATTATTTAGATATATCAATAACACCACCAAATCGACAACCAGCAATCAGACGTGGTGCACTACGTCAATATTGACTTAGACAATTGACAGTTGACTAAGACAAAAATCTTATCTTTTGTAAGTTATATTAATGATGTATTTTGTATTATTAATGAACAATATATGATATCGATATTATTATGTAAATGCATCACTTACTTTCCTCATTTTGTAAAAATTAAGTGCTTATTTATAATTTTTATCATTTTCATTACTATTTTATCAATTACCTATAATTATGTATCTAATATATTTATATTAGTACTAACTATTATTTCTATCAAGTACTTTTTTCTTTCTTGTATAAAATATAATTTTATGTACACTTTAAGCAGTTTAAGCATTGTACAAATTGAAATTATTGAAATCAATTTTATACAAGTAAAAATGTTAATAACTGCATAAAGTATTTTAAATTAATTGATAAAATAATAATTTTCAAATAAAAAATTCAAAATTTCGTTGCAAAAGTCTTGTTATATATTTATTTTTGAATTTCATTTACTACAATTTATAGTAGCAACATTTGAAGAGTATAAATGCTCTGAATATGGCTTTTATAACATTTTCATTCAAATTTCAGATTATTAATAATTTTTATTTTTGTATTGTGTTGTGTCATAAATTAGATTTTTTATATATTATTTATATATTTTTCATTATAAAAAATGGAAAATAAACCAAAGTTGTTAAATTGTATGATAAAAGGTAAGATTTCGTAATAAAATTATTGAAATAATTAACTACAAATTAAAAACACTTTTATATTTATTCAACTTAATTAAAAATCATATATAATTGTGAAATAAAATTTTATACACATCTGTAGGTCCTGCTCCTATATACAAATTACAAACTTTGGTTGGATATGAAGGTCATTGTTTGTCTCGACCAAGAGGTCCAGCATATACTATCAGACCTCGAACAAAAATTCATATACCAAGTTTTGGACCAGGTCCACAATATAATGTTTCAAAATTAACAAATTATGGAACAGATAGTCCTCCTGCATATACAATAGCTAGTAGAAAACCATTTAAAGGTAGCCAAAATAATGTTTAAGCAGAATGATTTGATATATTTTAAAATATCAAACAAAATATCAGACAAAATATCTTTCACAAAAAGTCATTGTTCTCTTTTCAATGTAGTGAGGGATTTTGGACCAGGGCCGGGAGCACACTACCCAGAATTATGTCCCCCAATGAATCACAATATTAGGGCTCCTGCTTATAGCATTAAATCTAGAAGTAGAACAAAACTGGAAGACATTGGACCTGGTCCAAATGCATATATTTTACCAACCACCATAGGACCAAAAATTCCTGACAAAATAGCTCAAGGTGCTTTTTCCTTGTACGTATATAAGTTTGAAATTATTATTGAAAAATTATGTTTAGACTTACAACACTTTTTATATTCTCTTTGTAATATACTTCATTCTATATAAATATAAAAAATAATCATAACCAAATATACCGTAATATGTTTTACTATTGCAGTTCTGGTATTCACAAACTTAGAGAAAAAGATGTTGGTCCTGGTCCAGCAGCTTACAGGCTAAATATAGATCTTATAAAACGTAGTTCTCCAGCATTTAGTGTAAAATGGAGGACTAAACTAGCAGATGTAGATATAACTCCAGGGCCACAATATTATCCTAAATACGATAGTAGAAGACGTCCCCCTATGTACTCTTTTGGTATAAGACACAGTGAATGTGCTGGTTTACCTATCACAAGCTTGGACGAAGACTGATACATTGTGAATTTTGTAAATTATTACAGAGCTAAGAAAATGATTTTACATCTTTGTAATATACTTTTGTATATATTATTTTACATATTTATGTCAACTTCGTGTAATTTTATATATATATTAAATATATATTTATTTTATGTCAAACTTTCATAAATGTCTAACATTAATTCAGTATAACAAAAATTGTTAATAACTAATCAATTAAAGAAAAATATTATATATTTAAAGCTATTAAATTTATTGTGTATGCTTCCAATGTTTGTGCATAATTTTAATTCCAATCTTGAATATAATTTGCAATAAATTAAATATTATCTTTTAATTATATTTCTTTAATTATATACGAGGGTAGCTCGTGCATAGCCACTGCGGAACTACAGCACCCCTAATTTTTCTCAATATATAAATATATCTATTAATTTACTTATATTTAAATATTGTAATATTCAACTTTATCATCAACAACCCTATACAATTCTCTTATTAAATATAAAAAATGATAAAAATCCACTGTATTTACAGTGTATATGTATATTTCAAAGTGGCAACATCCCCACGATCTCAAGCCACGACCTGCCATTGTATATATATATATATATATATATATATATATATATGTATATTTTGTATGTATGTATGTATATATTATATGTATTTTAATTATGTTCAATTGCTAGTGAATAATTTTCTTTTTTCGTTTTAGTTTTTAAACATGCATAGAATTTTTGTAATAATCGTTATAATCATGAATTTCACTAACATTCATGTAATTGCATTCTCATGCAATTGTTTGAATTTAAAATGGACTGACTAAAGTAATACCACCCATAATTTTTTGGCAAATGAAAATTATCGAGTACAAAAATGCCACCAAAAGCAGATACACAACCAAAAACTAAATCAGAAGCTATAGTAGATAAAAAAATAGGAAGTCTTATATGCGGTTTTAAAAGTAATGTCATTGCATTACGAGAAAAGACATTTCTTAAATATTAAATGCATATATAATGCATTAAATTCATCTTTACATAAAATTAGTTTTAAAAGTTTTACTTATTCAGGTCCAGGACCGAAATATCACCTTCAAACATTGGTCGGTTATAAAGAGCATTGTCTTTCAAAATATCGAAATCCAGCATATACGTTTGGTTATAGGCATCCTCGTTTACGAAAATGTGAAGTACCAGGACCAAAATACGTATTTCCAACGCCCAAACCTAATGGTTTTTCATTTGGACTAGTTAGAAGGCCTATCGGTATCCTATTTTATAGAATAGGAATGAATTAAAATTATTTTAAATTTTTTGTATATATACAAGATTGAAGTTTATGATAAAAATGGTTTATAGTTATCGCGAATTGTATTAAAATTATACTCGCATTTTTCTTTTCTATTAGTTACTTCTTGCGGTCCTGGCCCAAAATATTCATTACCATCTCCAAAGGGACCAGCTTTTACAATAAAATTCAGAACTAAAGGAAGACAACTTTGCATTGGACCAGGTCCTTATAATGTAAAAACTCCTATACCAGGTCCAGCTTTTTACATGTAAATACATACTTACATTCGGTTTATTCATGGCATGTCCTTTCTGAAAATAATATATAGTATCATAGAAATTATTTCTATCATAACTTATTTGTTACATTATTTTTAGGGGACATCGTCTACCTGGTTTAAAATGTGATCCTACACCAAGCCCCAAACTTTACAGTGATATACTGGTCAAACAAAGAGTACCAGCATACCATATAACTTCCAAAAGAGATAAAAAAATAATTTGTGCTTCTCCCGGCCCTAAATACTATCCTAAAACTCCTAAACCCATGCCTATGTTTTCCTTTAGAATCAAACATAGCGAATGTGCTCCTCCTTATATCGTTGAATGCGATGATCAGTGTTAAAATTTTGGCAATTGTAAATTAAAACTGTATACATTTATATATACAATAGCAAGATCTTTATTTGTAAATAAATAATTTAATAATTTCCTCTTATAATAAGCACATATTGAATTCGATCCTGCAAATATTAATAAATTTAACGATATACAATATAAAAATCGGATATTAAACACGTACAATTTTCAAATAAATACATTTTTATTAACATTTCTTATTTTACATTCAAACAATGGATAACATGAATTATCCAATAAGGAGAAGGAACTTGAAAAAATGAGACTTCTCTGTTCTCTTCTTTCAATGTTATATACTACTAAAATTCAAAAGCTTAATACTATAAATTTCTTTGTCATTTATTCTCTGTGCGCTTGTTTCATCAACTCTTTTGACAAACTAAATTTATTGTCAAAAGAATAACAAACCGAATGGATCAAATGTAAGGTATGATAATTGTGGATGGGACATAATTTGCAGATATAGAACGGATAATGAATAATTGAGAACAGAGTAAAACATTAAATGATTAATTCAGAGTATTGGTTACGAATAAAGATCAATTTCGAGTATATACATGACCGGATGAGTAAAGATTTAGCTGTCCATAATAAAAATGTGCATTGTACGTGTAAAGTCTTCAAGAATAGAAATTAGAAAACAAAAGAACCATTATTGCTGTGTTACATTGAAGTCTTCACACGTTTATTCTGCTGATTTTACAAAATTGGGAGACTCGTTCGGGTTGCTTAGTATGTTCCATTGAAGATACAGTGGATCATACAAGTGACCATACAAATGTAGAGTATAAATATACGTCGAAAAACAGACCCTGTGAATACTGCAAAATTGTGTTCAATTAGATGCAAATTCGAGTGTGTGTTAAATTTGATGGCAATCGCTGGTGACGATATTATTCATGGTTCAAGCAACAGAACACCATGAGAGAAGATATTACAAAAAGTTGTGAGTTGGAAACGTACAGTATTGACAAATGCAGCAATTAACAGTGCAACTATAGTCAGCGCAGCAATTTAGTACTACTATAATTGCAGATGCATTAGATTTCTTTGATTATATCGATTCTATTTACTAACACTGTGATAGACAAAAAAAAAATAATAATAATAATTAAGTATAAACTGAAAGTTTAGATGATGCTGACAGTTTCAATATATTGAAAATTGTACTCAAGCGTTTGTGCTCACAATGAACAAAAGAGATTTGTGCGTGAATATTACTGCAACTGATTTGACAAAACTTATAATTTATTTAAAAAAGCAAGAAATCGCAATCTGGCGCTTTCCAAAGCTATTCTAAGAGCCACGTAGAATAAGTAATAAATTAACAACAATAACATACGTATTTAAGTTTGGCACAAAGAATCTTAAAGTTCACGCCAAATAGAAATACAGGTCATTCGAATGTAAGAGTAAGTAAAAACATATTAAGGTAATTTGATGAATTGAAGGAAAAGTGAAATAATGTGATGAATTGAAGGCAAAGTGAAATGATTGAAAAGAAATGATTTTAGAGATACACAAACAAAATAAGAAAATTTACAATAAAAAAAGGGGAAAAGATATTGGATATATATATTGAATAACAATTGCAATACAAAAAATTCAATTAAAATTAGGACGAAAATCTGGTCCAAGATTTTAGAATCATTCATAATAATGACAACCAAAGAATTATGAACCAATAATGTTATTGTATATAAGATAGAGACTCATGAATGTTTCCAGCAGTTTAATAGTGATGAATTATGTGAAACCACAAGATCAATTACGATTGACATGTAAACATGATGAAATTCATAATTACCTGTGGAGGATGAATGATTATTTTAAATATCGAATACTTAAATCTGATTACGAGTGAAGAGCGATTCCAAAACCGTACGCGAGACACGCATGAGTCTACGTAAAGATTTGGCTGTCAGTGTTAAGGAACGTGCATGTAAAATGTCTTTAAGAATGTGATCAAATGAATCGTGTTATTGTATTAAAGTCGTTGCGTTATGTTAATCGTCGTGATTGTAAAGAACTGTTAAATATATCCACTTTATTTATTAAAGACTTCACACGTTCATTCGCTCAATCCACTGATCCTACACAAATAAATATATTTCCATCGCTGCAACCAATATTTGTAACGTCAAAGTGCAATTACACTTTCACGGCCTGCTCCCACTCCAATCCATTTAACTGAAATAATAATTGTTAATTTCGGGGAAAAAATGTAGAAGAGGCCTACAAGTTCTTAAATTTATATTACCTGGCACGCCAAGATGCTCTTCTATTAATTGTATATACTTTTTTGCGTTAGGAGGTAATTTTTCCAGGGAACGTACGCCCTCTGTCGTTGATTGCCAACCGTCGAGGGTTTCATAAACTACTTCTACTTTTGCTAAATCGGAGGTGCTACTTGGAAAATAGTCAATTTCTTTTCCATTTAATCGATAACCTACACCGATTCGAATTTTCGGAAGTGTATCTAGAATGTCTAGTTTTGTTAAACATATCGACGTGTACCTGTAAAATAAACGTCGCATAAATTATATTCATGAAAGTACAAATAAATATACGCAATCGTCACCATTGCAGAAGCGTTACCCTTACCCGTTAACCATTGCGGTGAACTTAAGAAGAGTTAAGTCCAGCCAACCGCAACGCCTCTTCCTATTCGTCGTGACACCAAATTCGTGCCCTCTCTTTTGTAAAAGCTCGCCTGTAGCATCTAAAAGTTCAGTGGGGAATGGACCATCGCCAACCCTTGTGGTATATGCTTTAACAACGCCGACAACGTCCCCAATGTAAGACGGTGGTAATCCAAGACCGGTACAAACACCACCTATACTGCAGTTAGAACTCGTGACGTAGGGATATGTACCGAAGTCTATGTCTAGCATCGCTGCATTTGCACCCTCTACTAATACTTTCTTCCCCTCGCGTAATGCTTGATGTAAATACTGAACTGTTTCTTTTACCAACGGTCTTATCCTTTCAGCGTACCTGAGAACAAACGAAAAACAGTTGTATCATTTCTCACAAGTGACTGGATACTTTTCGATACTAATATACAAATCAATCACGGCCATGAGAAACGAATAAAGATACCGTACTCTTTGTACCGCTGAAGCTCTGCTTTCACGTCGACCTGAAGCGCCGGGAACATTTTCTGGTACGAGGTAACCAGCGTGTCAAACTTCTGCGAGAACTTGTCGAAGTCACCGAGGAGATCACCGATTCTAAGCCCATTCCTCGCAGCTTTGCACGAATACGTCGGCCCGATCCCCTTTTTGGTAGTGCCGAGTGACTGTGTGCCTTTTTCTAATTCCTGGAGGCCATCAACTTGCTGGTGAAAATCAAACACCATGTGCGCACGATCGGAAATTATCAATCGTTCCTGCCAATTTTTCAAACCTTTCGCTTCATTGCTTTCTAGCTCCTCGAAAAGACCTGGCAGATGTATTACTACCCCATTTCCTGAAGAAAAATTCATAACAGTATGGTATTACAATCATTGTTGCACAATGCTCCCGGCGTAAAATATAATCTCGCTTTTGGATTCAGATTTCTGTGTGTACTCTAGAATCTACGAACGGCGAGCCATTATCAGATGATCACCTCAAAGTGTTTTACTATCGTTCTGCGCTAATAGATCGATCGTAAAGTGATTTACGTCGGTACGATACGGTATAAAGGAAGATGGTACATTTTTTATCATCATTTAATCCCTAAATGCGCTTATACGTTATTTATTGCGTTAAAAGCATTCTGACAGCGGTTATATACATATATATATATATATATATATATATATTTAACGAGCAATAATTGCATTATAAACGTGACTAAGCATAGACTAACATAACTGAGTTCTGCTTATATGTAGTTGACTCACTTACTAAAAATATCAAATACGGCATCACTAAATATAAAGTTGATCTTTTAAAATTACGTACAGCTTTTTCACCGCTTCGGGCATTTGCTTTTCGCCGTTAAAACGTACGACCCTTTGCTTGTGTGTGCTTGAGGCTATAGCCCTCTTACGTCCTTGACTTTTGAATACCACTTCACGCAACAGTGAAGAGGATTCATTTATAAAAATATAAAAGCTTTATATGTCATCAACGTCGGTCATGTAACGTATCTTCAAGAAACGTTTCTACACGCCACACGAATACGAGTCTTTAAATAATCTTTTTGCAGCGCTATTCATTTGTGGATTTTTTGAGGCATTATCTCTTTTTAAAACAAAAAATAACCAAGTTAACGCGTGCCATGCCGAGCCATTTTCAAGTGAGTGCCAAATTTTGGTACCGTTTCCGGTACGTGGATATAAAAGTAATTTGTGTGCTTTTTCTTCGCTCATTGTGGAATCAATCTATCAGCAAAGTAAATGTCGAAAGTGAGAGAAATGGAACAATTCCTCTGCTTTTGTGTTTGGTACGAGATACTCTATAAGGATCGCCCAGTGGATGTCGGAATTATTGGAAGATGCGTTTCTAAAATAGATCATAGATCTTCGTTGTCTAAGAGGTTTGAAGTCGCCGGAACTGTGAGAAGATAAAATTCCATAATTGACGATAACGTGGAATACCGTATTATCGGTATTCCTGGTATGGTTATGATAAGCCTGGCGTTTAAACGTCAAACATTTCAGCACGAACAATGAAATCAACTCAATTTTAATATCTAGAGCAATCTTCTCATCCTTCCCCCCTCCCCCACTAAAAAAAAAAAAAGAACCGAGTGAAAATATTTCAAAGACCAAAATTTTCAAAGACCAAAATTTTCAAAGATTAAATAATCATTAAAATTTTAAGTAATCATTACTTGTGGTACGTATATAGATATATATTGGATATCTCAGATTTCTTCCGCAATATAATGCAAGCACATCCCGAGTAAAAAAATAAAGAAAAATGTTTTACGAAGATATTGCAAGAAAAATATTAACCACTTGGCGCTGGCCAACTGATTGCGGACCATAACGAGTGACCGAACCGTATCCAATAATTCGTCGCTTTCTCTTTGAACTCGTCGATACGATATCACTGGATAGAAATTACTGAGAAGTATAATAAATTTATTATTTGTTTTGCCCGGATTATACTTGAATATACCTAAAACTGAGAGAACATTGCAATTTCGGGGCGAAAAATTCTCGACTTGAGTGGCACGTCATTCCAGCGCAAGAGGTTAAATAACAACTAATAAATTGGCTTTTCATTTTCGAGGTAATGGTTAAACCAAAGAATAGATTTCAACGAGGGCGATCGAGGACCAGTTTTTTTAGTTCCAAGGTTAATCAAAAATTGTAGCATGCGAGAAAAATACTGTTGACCTTTCAAAACAATTGCGTAGATGCTCAGTCTTTTTCCCCCTTTCTTGCTTTCTTCTTCTTTTCTTCGTAGAATCAGCGAATTTAATTTAACATTACTGGTATTTTATTAAGGGCCATCATAATCGAAAAATAATTACCTATAAGCGAAGTACATCTAGGATTGATTATTCCACTGGGCAGAAGATGGAAGTGGAACTCCGCACCGTCTACTACTACAGTATGCCCGGCATTGCTTCCTCCCTGCAAAATTAAAATTCTTCTTTTGCTCCAATGTAAATACTTTTTTCTTCTTCTTCTTCTTCTTTAGATAATTCCAACGGCCGATCAGAGAGAAAGCTGTTAAGCTTACTCGATTTTTCAACAATTGCGTCGGCGATACTGATCGTAAGGCGAACAATTTGATTTCGAAATTCCGAAACATTTCTCGCAAACATCGTCGGGAATGAATTAATTAAATTACAGATTGCGTAATTCGAGAAATAGCGGGGTGTCAGATTATCGTCATCTAGCGATTTCGATTTCGGGAAATGATCGAGAGATTAAATGAAGAAACGAAAAAAGAAATCCTACACATAATCCTTTTAATGAGATTTAAACTAGCTTTAAACTACTTGATCCGTTAACGATTCAAAAGTTGAGAGAGCATTGTTAATTGGAAAATTGACACTACAAGGTGCCGATCGATCCGAACCTTGCACCTTGAACAAATCGAAAGGAAATTTGCTTGATATAATTTGATTCGGCATACGTTTGAGATTTCTAAAATATTAAATTCAAAAAAATCGCCTTCTCTTTTTATTATCTATTTAAATATTATCTATATTACATATTATATAATATATTATCTATATTATATATTATATAATATATTATCTATATTATATATTTATTTAGTTATCTATTATCGCTACTATCGTTTGCTGTACGGAAAATCTGCTGTAAAAAGTGACGAGCTCGTTCCTAAACAGAAACCAGTTTTGTTGCAAAATAACGCCGCATCGTATTACACGGAACAATAATTTCATTGAAGCGCGTGTATATGATTCTCCAAAGGGTCAAAAGGTTATGAAGAAAGAGATCTCTATATACATGAGACGAAATATGTATTACATTAAACACTCGTTATTAAATACGTAAACATTAAACATCACAATTTAAATTGTGATTTAGTAATCACAATTTTTATCAATTTATCTCTTCACTAGAAGATATTGCTATAAACTAGGTATTTAAACTGGAAAATTCTTCCTAATATTTTCTTCGACTTTAAAAAGAGACGTCGCATATTTGACTTTACTTTCATTTGTCGCAACTTTCATTTATCTCGTGTTTCAACTCATCATACAGTAAATAAAGTACAAGGTCGTGTAATCGATCAAACATTAAGGTGTTTAAACTACCTGTTAAGCGATCCGAGAACTTCGTACCATGTTACGTTTACATGTTTTCATAACATTTACGTACGTTCGAAATAGATGTACAATGTGTGGTTTCTACAAAAACAGGATTATAAGATAAGACGATAGAGAACGTTTCACCCTTCAAAAAAAAAAAAAAAAAGAGAGAAAGAAATTAAAAAACCAACAATCAAGCGGCAAATAAATACTACAAGGAACTACCGGAAATAATGATAACTCGAAGAAGAAATGAAAAATATAGAGAAGAAAGAGCCTTGCGAGCAAATAAATAGAACAAAAATTCCAATGACCAATAATTGGATGTTGAACTTTTTTAATCAATATGAAATAAAGAATCTCAAATACGAAAATTATATTGTGATATAAAGAGTTTTATACATTTGTAGTGCTGAAATACTCCACCGGTTGTAACTGCAAAATTCGTTAAATTCTCTACTCCATTCACAGTATCGAAAAGGATTCAATTTACGGCATCCTCGAGTGCTAACGTTTCCTCTTCCTTGAACTGCGAACGACGACAATCGGGCAATCACTCCGAGTATTACTTAGCTTTATCCACTCCACCCAAAACCGAAATAAAAGAAAAAGAATATAAAATTTGACAGTCTCGAAACGACAGCTTCACATATAAGCTACCAAATCATAACTCGAGTAGAAGCATTAAAAAATACTGACATTTTCAAAATAAAATGAAACAACCAAATCATAGAGCAAGACTGGAATCTATTATCCATCACGGTACAAAATAGCAAAGAGACTCGTACCAATCCTCGATAGTATAGTGGTTAGTATCTCCGCCTGTCACGCGGAAGACCGGGGTTCGATTCCCCGTCGGGGAGTTTATAATTTTTATTTTTTTTTCTTTCCGTGTTTTTTTTTTTTCATTAAATAATCTATTTCTATGTAATCGTATATATGATATACTTTAAGTATTCTTTTTTTTTTTCTTTTTATTTATAATCAATGCAAACATAATGTATCTATGTCGTGTAAAAGTCTCACTGTATTTTAATCGTTATTTAATTATCTTTGTACATTTTAATTTATTGTACTTCTTGTAAATAATATTTATTGCAACAATAAACACTTTCTCTTTTTAAACGATAAGTTATCAATATTATTTTGTTTTTATCTATTCTCAAGTGATTTTCTTTTCTGTTGTTAAATCCATTATTATCTCTCACCTTATCCTTGTTACATAGTTATATAACTTATTTATTACTAATTCTAATTCAAATGTAAATGTTACTCCAATATCAAAGATTCTCATTGTTAGTAGTAATCAATTCTATATTAACATTATTAGTACTGTTTAAAAATAAGTAAATCACGAATTTTGTAATATTTTTTTTTTTTTTTTTGACGTGACGCCCTTAAATTTTTTCATATCTTCCAAAGTGATGAGTTACTACTGTTTTTTCCAAAGATAAAAATTGAATGACATCTCCTATTCAATAATTAGGGAATTTTCTATTTAGCATTTGAATAACTGAGCGTGACTAAACAACCATTGTATATTTTCATGAAATCTTTAATGGCCCCTAATCTTCTAACATTCACAAGAATGAAAAAAAAATCTGCGATTTTCTTCAAACTTAACAAATTGTTTAACAGCAGAGAAATATGATCGAGTTAGAAATTCATTTCAAGGACCTGGCAAGGTTAATAACTAAGATTACAGTTCATCGAGAACCATACACTACACATATCTAATCAAAATTAATAACTAGAATTCTACAGGAATACGCGACACTTATGTAACTCTGTAATTGCCGATGCACATACATCTACATAATAGTATATTCAAACGTGTCGTTCGTATTTCTTTTTATACTTGCATTTTTAATAGTACCGATGAAATAAACCTTTTGTCAAAAACGCCATAAAAATTATAATACAGAAACTTTCAGACAAAACAAAATGCTATTAATGGAGTATGTTTTAAGGGAAAAACAGAATGAAAACAACATAATTTCATGATTGATTTAACGTTTTGCAAAAATCTTGGATAAAATTATTAAATAAGATACTAATGTCTAATCCAAGAATATAATAGAATATAATATAACAGATTGAAAATATCTGGCAGTAAAATATTGTCTCAAAAAAAAATTCAGAATTATTACTTCAATTTTAAAATTTTAAAACAGAAAGTAATATGCTTGAGAAATAATAAAGCTTTGAAAATATTAGTTCTTCAAATTACATTGTTGGATAGAACGCAAGATTGAACGTTAAAAGAATGTACACGCTAGCAAAAAATAATCCAACAGGTTTTCTTATCAGTGATATTTCATACCCATTCTCGTATGTTTCATCATCATGTATACTATACATTAGCACAATATTGCTATCTCTATGATCTTTATGATTTGTCTCCGTATTAGCACGAAAAAAAATTTATCTGTATTAGTTATTTTAAGAAAAAAACTGGAGAACTTTATAAGAAAAATCCTGGGTATGAGTTACTATCAAAAACCAATTTTCAAGAATACATCCTGTCAGATATTCCTACATACACATGAAATCAATCAAGTAGACTCCATATGCAATTTGCACATAAAGATCTATAGACTCATCCACTGGAGTCAAAGATATCATCACTGGTTCAAAGACAAAGCCTATATAATTCATAATAGACAACATTCTATGCATAATGGATGATCGGAAATAAAGAAATAACAAGACTTCCTCATAATTATATCATGTTGCTGATAAATGATAATTTTCATGAATGAAGGTCTATTTATCTTGAATTGGAAAAAAGGTGTCTGAAAAAGATAACTTCCTGAAATTTTAGAAATAACTGTAAGATTTGGAAAATTCAAACTTTATATTTCATGAATAATAAAGCAAGAAGATTAAAATATTGAAATGTTGAATAACTAATATATGAATATTGTACATGAATAACTAATAACTAATATTTGGATGCTTGTCAAGAATAATGGTCCTGAGCATCATTTTATTTTTACATCAGAAAAAAAGCAACTACATAAGTAATTTCTATGTACGTTCTAAGTGAAATAAACGTTTAAAATAGCATGAATTGACAAAAGCAATGACGTACGTTTGATATTATGCAAATATAAAAAAAAATTATCAGCACAGTATATTGATGATTGCTACTTATTAAACAGAATCCACTATAAATAAAATAATGCAAAATGGCATATGTCAATTGGCGTGAAATGGCAGAATTGAATGACTGCCAATTAGAAGTTTAAGAAATATGATTAGAAATAAATTTGATTTCTAATTAAAACAATATTGTTTCATCACTTGGCTTATTTTGACATATGAAACAATATTTATTAACAATTGCAAACAACTAAAAAATAATATCATCGTGTTACTTTATTTTTGATTAAAGTAGTATAAATATGTTGGCTGTCACACAGAAATTTTACTTCTTTTTGTTCTATATGCCAAAAAATAAAATAATAACTTTTTTTTCTCTCTCTTGCAATAAAATTAAAAACAGATCTATCTCTTTATCCTAAAAAATAAATTTATATTCACTCTTTTAATAAAAAAATCTCTGATCAATAACAATGCCCAATGGATAAAAGAAGGATAACTAAACATAATATAGAGTCATAACAATTATTTTTAAAATTATATCAGCTACGCTACATGAATGATAGTATTTGGAATTATTAAAGAACACTGAATGCTTTACAAAATTTAATACTTGTGGCAATTCATGGTAGTTCAAACAAAGTTTCATCCAATTTACGTTCATTTGACGCACTCAAAGTAAATAAAACACTTGTAAATGAAATGTCTCACTGCGATTAGACAGTTACATGTGTTCTTGTACATATAGTAAACGCTTTAAAGACGAAATAAAAACATGTTGGTTTTATGTAACCGACGTTAGATTTATTAAATATTCAACGAATCTGTTCGATATGCAAACTTCAATATTCACGCAGCTTCGCGAAGTTGTTGCAGCAGGAAAATTTGTAATTGCACAATTATTTCGCTTTACAGCCTTCGCGTGTGCGGATGTGCCAAAATCATTTCGAAAATATAGAATATTAAACCATGTGACGATTACGTTTCATTCTTACGAATTACATACATCTTTCCCTCATGCTCTGAAGCCACGTTGTGGAAATGTATACTTTAATTTGTACACATGAGAGAGAGAGAGAGAGAGAGAGAGAGAGAGAGAGAGAGAGAGAGAGAGAGAGAGCACAGCGATGTAAGAAAAGGAGAAGAGACTAGTAATCATGTGACACACATGAAAACTATGGAGGGAAGAGAGAAAAATCTTTGTCTCTTGATTGAAAATGTGAGAAGGGGAAACGTGTGCACCGATTGACTTCGACATAACATCGTGAGATGCTGAACCTCGCAAAAGGGCGCAAGATGAGCTTTTCCGCCAAGCTGAAACGTGTTACGGATTTGCGTCCACCGGGGCGCAGAAAAAAAGGCGGACGAAAACGCAAAGATGGCGGACTCACCTGACACCTGCAGACGACGTCAGCATCCATCGCGAGCATATCGACGACCTTGCCTTTACCCTCGTCACCCCACTGCGCTCCGAGAACGACAGTCACTTTAGCCGCGTTAACGCTTGACACGCGTTGCTTCTTCCTCGGTGACGCAAGGATACCGTCGCCGTTTGCTTGCTGAACTGAACGCTGCATTCTCTTTTTTTTTCTTCCGTTTTTTTTTTTTAATATGAAAAACAACCGCAATTCCCGGAGCGACCGAACGAATTACGCGCGCAGGCACACACACGTTTCGGGAACCACCGCGCAACTGCTGAAACATAGACTGGTAGGAGAGCCCAGCTTATATCTCCCCGCCGAATAAAGCGACATCTGAGAGGGAGCCTGGAAATCGTAGAAATTCAGTAAAACTGAAGTGTAGGATAATTATAGAGCCGCGTGATATTAATTTCAGAATGGCACGAAGATTTTCATCATTAAAAAACGCAACTCGACGTGGCTAAATACGGATAACAGTATTGATGATACAAAGTGATCGAAGAAAAAATTTTTTTGGAGGTAGAGAGAGAAGGAAGTAGTGTCTCGATTGTTCGAGTAAAAGCATTCTTTGATTGAGAAGTTTACAATTAATTTAATGAAAAATTTGGTTGATTGAACAAATTTTGATACATCTGTTTACAAATATCACAAAGTAATTCAACGGAAAGTTAGAAAATATGTGTGATAATGATTTGTATTGATACAGCATTTATGTTATTACTTACTGTAATTTAGGTAATTTACGTCATTAGTTACTTTAGTTTAGTTAACCGCAGAATTTATATTTCATATGTTAATATTATACATTTTAAATTGTTCATTTTTTTAATGTATACGTGTATAATGAATATAACCTAAAATGTGAACATTTACATTTTATGAGATATTGTTATATACTGTTTTATAACATCTTGCATGGTTCTATGTGTATGAGATTACTGTTGATTTAATTTTTGTATTTAAAATTTAAAAAAAATATAAAAAATTTATATTAAAATTTTATTTTAATTAGTATTTTAATTATCTAATAATACAAAGTACGTTTAACATTATATTTTATTTTAATAATAGCTTTACAGAGTCATTCATCTGTTGATGTCCCTTTCTGGATTTATCTAATATGAACTTAAAATTACATTTAAATTTTTTAGTCTCTTGTTTATTTTATATTTGTGAAAAAAATACAAAATATTCAGAATAAACTGTACATCTTACATTTAAATAAATCTCATTTCTTTAGTTATATAAAAACGTGAATTTCCTGATGAAATTGCAGTTTAATTATACACATGTCATATGTTTATCTATATTAAGCTTGTTTATTTATGTTATCTTGAAATGTAGTATCCAAAGAATTTTACACAATTATATAAGAATTTTATTTTTGAAAAAGACTATACAATTTGAAAAGAAATACTCACTACTAATACATATTATATAATAAGTATTTTATTATGCATTAATACAAAATTCACGTCGCTCCCTGGCACGTCGATTTTGAAACCAAATCTTTATCTGAAACAGATCAGCGTTGATCATGAAATTGCAATAGTGATTATTATAAGATAATATCAGTTATATTTACAGAGCTCAAATTTACTTATAATTTGTCATATTTATGGAACTTATAGTATCTGTGAATGAATATTTGAAATTTCTTTTCTATCTTAATTAAACTATCTATCAATAGCCATTCGTCATATAATTTTTAGAGATAATCATTCGATTTTTTCTAATTACCTATTTCAATTGTTGTTTCATTTTTTAGATGAAAAATAAGTACGTAAAATTGTTAATTATGTAATTGTATCGAAGAAAGCTAAAGTTGTTATGCCGAAGAAATCGATAAACCATCGAAAAATGTGGCAAGTGCGTGAAGAAACTAAACGTGTGCTGATCCACCTTGAATTCTTAGAAGGTGAACTCTTGATCTTAATTGATAATATCTCTGTCTGTGCAACGCCAAATCGTTGATTAATCAAAATAATCTGAAACAATTTAGCTTTCGTTGAAATTCAATAACTGATATCATATAAAAGGAGATATGTACTTCTGAAAATAATGGTACCACGTTCTTCGACACTTTTTTTTTAAGTTTATCTTTAAAACGTGTTTGCTCACAAAATTATTTACTACGTACTTCCACAGAGTTATTACATATACACGCTGTATGTACATGTTTTATAACTTGCGATAAGTTATCAACCCTAAGTAAAATATATATCTCGATTGGCGCTGCACCAAAAAAGATATTGTCAATGTTGTCAATCAAGTTCAAAAGACAATTATTTTACTCAATGTTTCTTTAGTTATTGCAAAAAGTAAAGTAATAAGTTACACACACTCGAAGATGTTACATTTTCTTTTCAGCATTGTTATTGTAGAAAAATTTTCGTTTGGCGTCAGAGAAAAAGGTTCTCTATCTCTGCGCTCTCGTCAAGAAAGAAATTAACGATAAACGTTGTATAAATTTTGAAAATACCCTATTGGGAGGAAGGTTTAAAACACTCGATATCTCCGAAACGTCGTCTTTTGAGAGATAAGCGCTGTGCCGAAATTGCTGCTCAAGAAAGTCCAGTTGAAACGTTGAAAATGGTATCCGAGGATGAAGGCTTGGCTTTCGTCTATTTTTCCCGATCGTAGACTTTCTAGGAATTTTCGGCGGCCTGTACCTCGTACATCGAAGCCATTCTAATTCTGTTGTAGCCTTTATCGCTTTTGTTTTGTTATTGTCGAACGACGAACACTTACTCTCTATTTTCTTCAATTTTTTATAGGAATTGATTATTGAGTCTTTACTTTTATTTTCTGACAAATCAGTATGATTGTGATTTGGATGCTTAAACCGTTTATTGCCAAATTCTTCTTCCTGATCCTGTTTCAATGGTTCACTTTGGTCTCCTTTCAAATCCGCTATGCTGTTTTGCTGCTCGTTTAATTTAACATTACAGTAACTTTCACTTCTTTCTTCGTAGCTTATATCAAATTTTTTAAGTTTAACGTAGCATTCAGAATTTATTGTATCTTCTTTTGCAATGCGCATCGTTACTTCTGAGTCTAAGTTTACTTCACTGAAATTAGGTTCCTCCGTGTCGAACTTCGAAACCTCATGGAAACAATTGACAATATCGTTTTCTTCAGTGCTTGGCAAACGTGTGGAATATTCCCGTTCGTCGTGTCGACCGGAATCAGTTATTTTAAAATTCGCTTTAGTCCTCTCTGCCGCAATAACTTCAACTTTTTCGTTAAATTTGTTACTTTTATTGTTTCTTAGATACGTATTTCGCGTGTCACTTTCGCAGCTCGTCGGTGCAGGATTTCCCTTGATTGATTTAAAATTAATCCTCGTGTTCACAGCAACATTTCCTCCTCCGGTACTAATTTTAAACGGTGTTTCAGAATTCCTCTCAAACTTCCCTCCTTGAAGATCGACTTTACAAGATCTTGGGACGCTGAATCGTGACGACCTGTTGGACTGGTCATTTCGAAGGAACATGGATCCATCTGCCAAAATACTCTCGATGCTAAAGTCCTTCGGCTTCCTGACCGATTTCATGTCGGAACTTGAACTGCGGCCGCTTAATAAAATCCTCTTTATATATGGCTCTCCGAGCACCACGCCGCTGCGGCCACCCCAAATTTTAGCAAGTTGCGCCTGTTGAAGCTCGGTTTCGAATTAAACGCATAGTTGAACACACGATGCTATCTTGCCGGGCCAATGTTACCGCACACAGTGACTTTCAACCTTGCTTCTCTACGCTCTTTTGCAGACAGAAGCTTCTCAGAATCTTTCGCAAGACGACTTCATTTCAATGCCCCCTTCAACGAATATTCAAATCCGATCGGATCGACATGGAAAATGTTGCAAAATTTTAATTATTGAACTTCGCTTTACGTCTCAACGTAACTTCCAACAGCTTGTTATAACTAGGTAACTAAAGTAAGAAATTGTTAAATTAAATGTTCCATGAAATGCGAACAAACATGAAAATAACGTACCATAAGCGTAGAAGAGTGTTCTGACGACGAGTTTTGACGACGATCATCGGTTGAGGATAGTTGAAAATTTTGAGATGACAAACACTGATCTGACTGGTGGTACTCGAAAATATCACGTAATCCAGAACATATTATCCGTGGGATATCGATCTGTGTTCTATTACAACAATGTAATTGATACTCTTGTGGGGAGAGAAGAAAAAGGCGAATGAAGCGTAGAGACACCCCTGTTGCAATGATTTGTATAGAGCAGATGGGATACAATGAGGTCCGTATAATTAGAAATTACAAAGTATCCGGGTAATCTGATAAATAGCTGCTGAATAGAAAAAAAAACCGCAAATATTTAGACACTTTTTCACGGTAACAAACAGCAAAAGGGATCGACTCCATCATTTTCTAAAAATAAGAATACGTGTTAACTTATTGTTAGTTGAGACGTAGCACAATAATTAATGTATACGATTTTCTTCAAGGGATGCTGACCTTTTTATACTGTAAATCTATTTCAATATCCAAGGAAGATTTTTTGTAATAAAAAAGATGACAATACATATACGATTCTCTTAGGGGATGCTAATCTTTTCGTATTATGTGATTGATGAGTTCAAAGGTGAAACTAAGACATGACACAGCAATTATAATGTGATTTTCTTAACATTAGAACTATCAAAATGACCAAAACGACTATTTGAATATTTTATAGATACAAAACAGTGTATTTTTGAAGATTATAATACATACTTATTATATATAGAGATATAAATACATAAGTAAAAGCTTGTGCACCCTATATATTAGTATCATAAAGATTTTCTGTTTCTTTCACCTTAATGTCTTTGATGGAAATTTTATGCTTTAGTCGTTGGTAGTTCTACTATCAAGGGATGCTGATTCTTTTATATTGTAAATCTGCTTTAACACCCAAAAAAAAGAATTGCATAATAAAAGCAAATGACACAGTAGATACACATTCTCCTAAGAGATGCTGATCTCTTTGTAAAACGAATCTACTTTAACAAACATATATTCAATGTATAATAAATGTATACATACTTCAAACAAAGCAATTATATGATGTTTGTAAGGAGTGCCGATGTCACTTTATCATTTGTTTCATATTTACAATGCGTGACAATCAAGCGATTAATGTATATATGATGTGGTAAAGGTGAAAAGGTAAAGCATTGCGGACGAGGTGGATGTAATTAAGATGTGGCGCAGTAGTTACACGAGTTTTTCAAGAAATGCTGATAAGGGTTTATCTGGATCTGGTCTAAATCAAACGTCTTATTAATCCAAATCTTACTAATTTAATTAATAATGTTATTACTAATTGTTATATCTTAAATTGTACCTTAATAATTATTATACCTTATTAATGTATTAATTTAATGAACAAATTATGAAGTAACTTGCAACATAATAAAGTAGTGCTTCTTCATAATTAAATGTGTTTTTATTCCTCAAATATTAATTTCCATTATATTTAACGGAATTTTTTCGTTATAAATAAAATGAGGGTGTAAAATGAAAGATGCAATTCCAAAGGTTCGCATATCAATCTTCTCAATTAGTTCCCTCTGCAAATGAATTTGAAATTGTAGCTTTAAACATGGTAGGCCACCATCTGTTGACAATTTCATTGGCATTCATAAATTTTAAAAAATACTTGTTCTTGCATGTTTTCCGGGTTAAACGGGACATAGAATTAAAGCCGAGGATCTAATTAGGAAAGTACAATCGCTAAAGTTCACAAATTAATTCTTTAAGTTAGTTTTTTTTTTATAAATAAAATTCAAATTTTCATTTTGGACAAGGTGGCGCCATCAATAGCATGCTCTTTGTCTACAGATAGTGCTGCCATCTAGACAAGGATGGCAATGCTGTGCGACAAGGACAGATATACGTGACGTCATAGACAAGGAGTGCACTATTGTGCAACAAGGACAGACAACTGGTGATAAACAAGGAGAGCAATAGCGAGTGACAAGGACAGTAATAGAGATTAGTTCCACCTTTTTACCGCTACGCGGCGCTAGCATTTCAGTGTCCATAAATCGAACAAATTTTCATTTCCAAAAAAAACCAATTTGGAGGATTAACTTGTGAACTTTTGCGATTGCATTTGCTTAATTAGATCCTCAGCTTTAATTCTATACCCTTCTCGACCCGGAAAATGCAGGAATAAGTATTTTCAAAATTTATCAGAGCCACTAAGTTACCGACAGATGGCGCCACATATAACCCGCCAATTTCAAATTCAATTCTAAAAAGAAACTAATTAAGAGGAATAATTTGTGAACTAGTGAAACTGCGTTTTCCGTTTTAGATTCTGAGTCTTCTTCTTATATTTCTATATTTAACTTATAGAGTGTACAAATAAAAATTTAACAACTTTGTTCAATAGATCGAAGTATCTGCTGCGATAAAATTTAATTTCTCTTAAACTACGCGCGAAATTTGAATGAAAGTTGTGAAATTGTATCAATAATATTATACGTTATCAAGTTGATGATTCAAACTTTAATCTTACGATACTTACGGAATTATATTGACATTAATATTTATAAATGATTATAAATGATTTTCATGAAAAAATTACAAATGGTTATACCTTTTATATTGTCAAATTTTCACTCAGAGTTTAATCAACGTAGTTTATGCGCACTTTATTATTTATAAACATTAGGTTATAGTTCCGTCAACATTGCAATATGGTATAGTGTATTTTTAAAGTAGCACGTTATGTATATGTATATTTTTGATTCGTGCAATGTTATCTAGGTTTAAGCAGTTAAAATTAAATTAAAAGCAATGAGAATTTCAGTTTTAGTCATACGAAAAATGTTATTTATTAAGATAAAATCGACAATAATAATTAAAACAAAAGTATCGTGACTTTCGTGCAACACGATTTTGTGTTGAGGTTACATTAATTTATTTCACTTTTAAGATTATATTGTATTTATTATGTTTAATAAATAATCGAGCAATTAGTAAGAATGTAGCCTTCGAACAATTGTAAAAATAATGTCAGTGCATTAGTGTATTTGACTGCGTAAAGATGAATTTTTCGTTACATGTGAACTTAGAATTTATTGTTTTTATCAATAATGATTGATATTTAATAAATAAAGATGAACATCATGCCTTCTACGAAGAATGAGGTAATTGTAAGATTATTATAATTGTTTACACAGTCTTATTTTATATAATCTTTAATGCCTTATAATTGAAAAGAGAAAAATTGAACAGAGAAATTTTTAAGTTAATATAAATGTTACACAGTTCAATGAAATAACTCTATCACACATTCATGAAATTGATATTTGCACAGTCATTATAAAACAGTTAAAGATATAAATTTCATTTAAAGAAATTCATATTGTTATTGTTAATCGTATGAAAATTATTGGTATTTTATCCAAGCATAGTTTTACAATAGTACAAAATTTAAAGTATATTTAGTTAGATTAACAAGTTATACATGATGAAATTTGAGTCAAATAGAATATTAAATTAATCAAGTTTCAGTTTTGTATGATATATTATATAAAAGAAATATTATATTACAGGAGAATGTTATTTTAGAAGCAGATACCGTTTTCTTGTTAATGAGAAAAGGATTCCCTATATCTCGCAATGTAAGAGCACAATGGATGTTAGAGCATTTAGATACTATAATAAGTATTCAGTGTTCAAACTCCAAAACCAAGGAGGCAGCAGAACTAGAAGTAGCATCAGTGCTGCCGAAAAATAAATCCGGATCATGGTCTCCTGAAACAAGCCATCAGTATCTTTACAAAGTAACTTCTACAACCTCAATAATATTTCTGGCACACAAGTACAGGATGGTATTCAATCTGGACTTGAGTCCGTCCCTTGCAACTGTAGTAAGTCATTAAATAAATGTAATATCTTTATTATTGGCAAACTATCTACCATAGTATATGTGATTGAGTTTAGGGATTAATTCAGCACATAAAACTTTTATAATAGAAGTTTATATAAGATGTTAATGAACTTGTGGGACATTTTTGGAGGATTAATTCTAGACAACAAAACAAACACAATTCGCAAAAATGTCGATTGAGGCTTACCTTTCAACTTACAAACAATAATATTTTACGCTAGAAATAACATATATGTGCTTGCTGGTATCAGTGAATCGAAATTTTGTCGATATTCCACGTTTCCAAGTTCGTGGATTTTAGAATAAAAATCACAATATGATTATAATGCGATAATACCGCATGTTATTAAATTTAAAATACATTTATTAAAATATAAAAAATATATCTGTCATATAAACATATAAAAAGTCTTTTATCACATATTTATTTTCATTGTAGGATATACAACATGGTGAAATAGTCATAGATGAGGTATATATGGCAACCAAACATTTTTTGGAAAGCATTATTAGACCTGTAAGTAATTCTCAGTTGTTTTTTTTTTTTTTTCTATATATATAGGAAAAATTAATGTCAACTTTACAACAAAATAACATGGACTTTCACAATTAACATTTAATATTACAATTTTTGGAAGAAAATTTAATGGATCTAATTCTGTTGCAGTTTACTATACCAGGAAGTAAAAGAATAATGCAACCAGAGATCTATGTAACCATAATAGCCCATACACCTTTTTTCACAAATCCTGCACAGCAAGTTTTGGTACAAGGTTGGCTAGTAACTTTGGACAATGTTAAACAGCTGACAGATTTCATAAAGAATCGGCTCCATATATTAGAGGAGAAAGTGGCATGTGCTACCGCTATAGCTAGTCAACAATTGGAAAATTTAAAAGCTGAGAACGAACGTTTAGTGGGAGGGCTCTTTGAAGAGAGCAACGCTTGTCTAAATAAAAATAACAATACTTGTCTTGTTAGTACTTCGTTAATTTCTCCGGAATCAAGTTTCATCAATATGTTGAGATACGGGATGTTAGCGCTTACTCTACTGCCAGAACATAGTTGTGCACGTAAGTGTGAATGTATTAAAATATATTGGATTAACACATATATGTATCACAAAGTTTTACTAATTAAAATGTTAATAAAATATCTCTTAGATATGATAATCGTTTCGGATGGTGTAGTAGGAAATACCGATGTCCATGTCTTGGATTCGGTTATACAACATTTACGTGCAACAACAATTGCATGTAGTTTTCTACATGTTGGAAGTACATACCATCCACATTGTGCTGATGGTTTAGTCCCATATCAAGAGTTATTACATTTCATTGCAAGAGCTACATTGGGTACTTACATGTCATTTCGTCCTTATCCTGTACGTAATATTTTATTTATACACATAAATAATAAAGATAGTACATTACTATTAATCTCTTTACTTCTTGAAATAAAAATTATACAGATTAAAAGAATACGTGCGCACATATATATACATATGTATGTAGTTTATAAATTAATTAACTTTTGTAGGTAGATCTAAAAGAAACAGAGATGAATGTTTATCAAAAAAGCTTTTTATGTTGGCAATTATATCGCGAAGTATGTTGTAATATTTCACCAGATTATTCGAACTGGCATTCGAAAAATTCATTATTTTATGAAGAGAAATCGACGCAACTTCTGCAAAAGAAGCAGATTGAGGACAAAGTGACATGCACATTAAGCAGTCTACTGTGTTGTCGCCTTCGCGAGGGATATTTAATAAAAAGTGCTAACGTGAGAGACGAAATACTCGAAATTTGTTTTGTATTATTGTGGAAGTCTAGTGTTTTACTAGAATACGTAGTAACGTGCCCTTGGCTAACGAAATCATTGTCCGTATCCAATACAATACAGTATACAATTACTACAGAAGGTAAATTAAAATAAAATTTATTTTTGAATTAACTATTGTCAAAATTCGAATGTAAGATCGGATCAATATAGTCTTGACATTTAAAAGATTGATTATCGCTTGTTGCAGCCCCCTATGAATTTTTACACGACATCACATGTCTGTCAAAAAAGCCATTGAAGTCGCAATATCGACAAGGTGTTGTCAATCGGTTTTGGGCAACATTAACATCCCTAACAGAAAGTGACAGTATGCTCGCACACTTCAGTTGGTTCCCAGAATTCGGCTGGACTTGGTACAGCGTGCCAGATACTATTAGGAGCGGCATGCCAGTCTTTTATTTATCAGCTTATCCTTCACCCAGCACCGTGCAACTCAGGTATATTTCGTATTTACAAAATTGGAAAAATGAATCATTGAATTCACTTTATACATACTGATATATTTATATTTCCAGTGACGCTGCGTGCCCACAATTCGGACAGATTTGGCAACCTGTAGTGTCTTTAAATCCTTTACAGTGGGCCCGTTGGATGCATACCCAGAGAGTGACGTTGATTCTGTCACACGACAGGCTGCTGCCGAAGCACCTGCATCAAGCAAATCAAAGCGGTCGTTTCCAATGTGTCCAAAGTCGTCAGGCAGCCGCCGTTCTCTATGCCATGTTGAAAAATTGGGCAACCTTCGTTCTCGTCGAGAATCACACATACGTGCAATTTATTTACCGAGAGGCGGACAAGCCTCCGGTTTCGTTCTCGCTGATCCGTATTAATTGCAAGGCACTCTGCGTCATTCTTAACATCGCGTTCGCCGCTGGAACCGAGGGAGTCGTCCGGCACAACGTTGTCGTCGATCTTCTGGATCGACTGTCCAAACTTACTTTACCAAACAGGCCTACGGAGCAAAAAGAAACACCTTCCTGTACTATCATTCACAAATCTTTGGAGAAGATATTGATCAGATACGAGCGAATGCCAACTGACTTGAGCTCCATCATGTTCCCCGATGGAACTCTGCCCATTTCAACCAGACTCACGCCAATGTTCGGTGGAATTTTGACAACAAGTTTGTCTAGATATTTGTATCACAATCGATGGCTTTGGCATGTGAAACGGCCGCTCGTACAAACCATTCCTGGAATTGTATTACCAAGATTGAACATAACTGCGATCGCTAGGATCCTTTCTACAATTACGAAGTAAGTGCTTTATGCTAATTCTTCTTGTTGCCGTCATTTCTGTTTCATAATTTTCACAAAATCGAAAGTTTTCTAATTAATGAAAATAGATTTAGATTTATTATATATTTTTTATTTTTAGAATGCGTTTGGCTGAAGGCTTCAATTTCACTTATTCAGCAGCGGGCATCATAAACATGGTTCTTGAAGTGCAGATGCAAGGAGTTGGTGAGAATGATACTACATATCCGTGTATTATTCAATACATATTATTCCCGCCACACGTTATGTCAAACACGACACTAGAACGCGACAGTGCATCGGAGGAAGACACTGATGAAGGTAAGAAACTTTAAAATAAAAAATAGAAAATATGAATAAACATTTAGATTTGAATTAACAAGTGCATTTTTTACGTTTAGGAACGGCAGATGGTGAAATAAGCGTGGAAGATGCTGAGGGTTCCGGCGATTTCCAAATCATTTCTGAGATTTGGATCGAACCACAATGCGGTTTCTCTCAGCTGCCTGTACAGTCCACAGCAACATACATGAATCGTTTGCAGTATCATGAGATCCCAGATGCAGTGAGTACATATACATATTTTACTATACATAAATTTATTTTGTGTTCAGTTACATGATAATCAAACGTAAATCCGACAAGAAATTGGTAGAAATAGGACACAATAATAACATTTGTGAGATTGCTATTACTTTTTCTGTATTTTCTGTTTTTTTTTTTTTTCTGATTTCCCGGATAGCAACAGTTCAAATTAATATCGTTTTATCAAAATAAGCGATAGACAGATAGATATAGGCTTATCAAGATTTTAGATCATCTCGTACGGTTTGTCCCGAGAAAATAGTTAACTTATCGGACTTATATATATTTTACTTTTAATAATTTTTCTGCGATCACATTCGCTACGGTATCGATGATATTATACAACGTGACGGCTCTTTCCTACTTATCATCTCAGTCACTTCATTTTATTAGTTTGTTACATATTCATGTATTAAAGTATGAATTCGAATATTCAAGAGTCGAGCGAAAGATTCTACGATTCTTCGTGAAGTCAAGAATATTCAATTACGTTTATTGAAAATTTGGGAAATAGAGCGAAGATGTTTTCCATTTGTAAGGAAATCGTGTCTATAATATTATTTGCTCAATGATACGTTAAGAATGCTTGATAATCCTTCTATTTCGAAATGCTATCAACGAAATAGACTCGACGGATCATTGCCTTATATGTAAATATACCGATATTTATAATCTAAAATAACCCTTTTACATATATCATAATTTTTCAAAAAGAAATCATCTAAATGATGATGCTTCCTTCTTATTTGTCAATGAACGTGTTTGTTAATTCTGGTCCATGATTTTCACAAGAAAATATGTAAAAAGTAGAAAGTAGAAAATTTTAAATAGATGTTTGTCTGCCTAGAGACTTTTATTATATATTTTGGCATTTCTTCACTTGTATTTAAGCAGTGTATATTGCAAAATCATAAGGGATGTTCTAAAAGAATCTTCTGAGACATCTTTAAAATATATATTCTCTATATAAAAGAAACATATAATGCTCTTTTTTGGAAGAAATGTGAAACGTTCTTTCTTTCTTTTTTTTTTCTTTTATGAAACACATTTGGTATTGAACATGAATAGATTTGATTTATCTTTAATCTTATCTTTTCTTTGGTTAATACATAAAAAGAAAAAGATATAGCTGTAATATTCTTCAGAAGTATGAGATAAAGGATAAGATTTAATTCTAATTCCTTGCCAATGGTTATATGTTTTATTTTCAACGTTGTCTCAATTCATGGTAACAATGTACGTCGCAACTCTTTGGATCAAGTAAAGAAATTCCAGTCAGATCTATTTGCGATTGAAGTCAGATCCCATTGGATCGGTTTTTTGATGCAAAATCGTTTTACACAATTCGTCGATATGAAACTATATTTTCTTCACATCTGAAGTGTCGAACGAAGTTAATACAACGAATCCTAGCTACGTTGTATCTTCTTATAAAATTGCGCGATCCAATTCCTTGCCTTATCTGTAATAAAAGTAAAAAGTACAATTTCTTTCTTGTATATGCTTGATACGTGAGATAAAATTTATCTAAAAGTGATTATTAATCACCGAAAGACCAAATTTCAAGGTGCATTTTATCGATACATTTTGGCTCGTCCATTATCTTTCTATATTTCTACTTGCGCTTATATTATTTTGTTGTATTATTTTCCCTGATTCTGCCTCTTATATCATCAATTTATATCTTCAAACGTCCTTTACCATTCCTGCCTATCCTTCAATTTAACATCCTTTACCATTCCTTCAGTGTTCAATGTTTATAGATATATTGTATTTATTCGTCAAGTGTTTCTCAGCATTAAAATATGAAATGCAAGGTATGAACATAGATATACACGTAGATACCTAGCTTTTAAGTTACATTAAGTGGCATTTTGTGAGATGGTAAAACTGTTCCTCGGTATACGACGAACATTCTGTCTTCCAAATTACAGGAGTAATACGTCGAAAATACAAAATTTTGCCAATCTTATTGAAAACGACGTATGACATCATATGCTCAATAACAAGATAAATATTTTTTCAAACATATATTGACAAATGACGGATAGGAAAAAAGATACTATCGTTTTATAAATCTTTTCGATAAACATTAATGGTCATAATTCGTGGTCTTATTCCACCTTTTTTTTTTTTTTTTTTCACAGAAATTTCGTTCGAACGATTTCGAATAAAATTTCGAAATAACTCGTCTGATTTCATCTTGATACTTTTCTACGTGCCGCTGTTTCCTTAATTACTTTTTAAAACTGAGAAATTCATTTCAAACGAACGAGAGGTGTTTGCAATTGAAATTAAAACAGAGGAATTCCACCGGGTTTTGATGGCGAGACGTTGTCCAGTTTTGTGCGGTGTGAATGGTGCTAGTCGAAGAAAATTGGTAAATCAATGGTTTCCCGACCGAAAAATAAGTGGGAATATGTGTATAAAGTTGTCTATCAACTGCGTGTCGTTATCACTGCCGAGGTGGGGCCCCGATATCGATGAGGGTACTCGGAACAAGATTTTTCTATCAGTTGGCTCAGGTATATATAAAGCCCAACACGTAGCCGACTGTTTATTAGTGTTCTGATTACTTTTTTTTACGTAAGAGGTTTCCCAAACGAATCATTCCGTTCGTATCATATCGTACATCCACGAAAGAGAGAGAACATCATCGCGGTTTCATGTGAGTGGAACGTTTAAAGAGTGATAAAGAGAATTTCAGTATTTGTCTACGAAATAGCCTACAATTGCATCTTCTTCTTCTTCTTCATCATCATCATCTTCTTCTTCTTCTTCTTCTTCTTCTGGAAGGCTCACGAAGTGTCGGTGAAAAATTGACAAGTGACTGATTTTCTTCGAAATAATTTTCATCAACTACCCAGTACATACTTGATTCTCGTTTCGTTCCATTGCTGTGGGGTAACGGTCAGGTAACGTTTCAGTCCAGTATCACAAAAAATATCGAGAAGAAGCTCTGAAAGACTGTGAAACTACGACTACGTGCTTGTTTCACAATTGGCTAAAAAAAGAAAAAAAAAAATGTTGCAGATGCATGACGCGCCGTATTGAAAATTGGATTTACCTTTCGAGTAAAAGTCGTGATGCTGCGTAAGTATCTCTAATCCCGACTTCAGATTCATCGGGCGAGAGAAATTTCCATCATCGAAATTCGAATTCAGCAGGAAAGTAAAACAAAATTAAAGTAATAATTCACAGGCGTGAACGATACGAGCATGTTGATAATTTTGTTAACAGTTAATTTTCGTAACTTTCTTCTCTCTGCTTATGACGACATACTGAGCCTCTCTTTTCTTTGAAGTGTCGCTGGAAAAATGAAATATTCTTCCATCGAGAGGGCCAAGTGCGCCAACCGGCGAATAAAAAGGAGGGAGGAGGTTCTTCTTTCCAGTAAAGGTTACGAATCCTATCGAGAGATCATTGAAAGAGATCATCTTCAACCGAGCTGACGAGAAAGAGAGAGAGAGAGAGGTCTATTCGCTTCGTCGTCGTTGAAACACTGCATGGGCCGTTGCATGGTGTGCTGTGATCTGCATGACTTGCAGTTGGAAGTGAGGATCTAGACAGTGAGCAGTAAACGCTCTGATAACTTGCCAGATCTAACTCTTCCAGCTCAAAGTCTTGTTGATTATCATCTTTCTTTCTTTGTTTTTCTTTTGGTTTCTTTCTGGAATCTCTGTACATGAAAATTTGAAACCGAGAGACTGAATGACGATTAAAAGAAGAGAAGAGAAGAGAAGAGAAGAGAAAAGGGGGAGGGGGGGTCATGGTTCAAGTGGAGAAGTGGTCTCTACGCTTTGAATCGAAGTGAGATTCAACTCCTCCAACTTACTCCTGATCCCTGACGTTCTTCGTTACTCTGCTCGTTTTCTCCTCTATCTGCGGAATATCTTTCGATGCGCTACCAGATGTATCAGCAACGCGCGAGCGAAGATAAGTGGAAACTTTCGTGGAATCGTTCTATTGGCGCTCCTTAATACCTTGCCGGACAGGCATGTTGCAATAGCGATAAAATCTTTTAAAACGATTCTTATCGTGGAATCCGTTCAACTGCGTATAATTGTTTCACGCGATTCAATTTTACTCGGCCAATAATATTTTCCGTATTATACTCTTGTTGTTGTACGTCCTTGCGAATATTTCTCTCTTTTTTTTTTTTTATTTCTTCTTTTTCACGATCTACAATATATATTTTTGTTATTTTCATAATAAATATTATAACATACCGAAACACTTGAAACACGGTCAAAACAATTGTACTACTTGTGTATGTTTTTTTTTTTTTTTTTTTTTTACGAATTATATTATTAATTAAAATAAATGTTTGTTGCTGCTGTTATCAATAATGCAACTGTCTGTATAATCATCGAATAAATTTCATTAATCATTTGTATAAAATTGAGGAACTTTTTGAATTGAATTTACCCTACTGTCTTGACACGACGTCTATGTAATATCATCGATATTGTACAAAACGAAGAAACGAAATTTGATACCAAATGTGTCTCGTAATTCTTTGATGCACCTTTTACTTTTGCTTCCCTCTTCCATCCAACAAATTATGTCACACTGTGCTTGTTCTCTTTTGACGCGCATTTTAAAAAACTGAGGGCAAACTTTGAGAAATTTTTACCCATCGTTCTCCTGATAATCTCCTATATATCTGGTTGCCAGATCGCTCGAATAGACGAAGAATGTATCAACGCGTTGCTAACGTTGGAGTACCTGAGCTTGTTAAGTCAAGTGATACCGAACGAAAAGAATACGGAGATCATTTATGGACAAGTGACCCACTATGACGTGAGTAAGCTGCCAAAAAGATGCAACAGAAACACGAAGGCCAACAGCTGCACCGTGGAGGAATCGTGCGAAGGCCTATCAGCCATCGACGAAAGAATCTGCACGATGCATTTCTCCTTCGACACGTTGAACATATTGCCAAAATGCCAGCAGGCTGAACTTTTGTTCTCCATGTTCGCCGATGGTAAACATTTTTATCCACCATCACCTGTAAAACGAAGTAGAGCGAAAGATTAGTTAATTCAAGAAAGCCTTATCTTTATATATTATATATATTATATAATAATTTATAACTATAAACTTAAGAGTATTATATATATATATATATGACTTATATATACTTAAGTATAATATATATAATATATATGACTATAGTATAATATACTTAAATATAATATATATAATATATATATGTATATAATATAATATACATGACTATAGTATAATATATATAATATATATATATGTATATAATATATATAATATACATGACTATAGTATAATATATATAATATATATATGTAGTCATTATACTCTTAAGTTTATAGTTATAAATTATTTAATAATAATAATATTATATATATAGAGATATAATAATATATAATATTATATATATATATATATATATATAGAGGGAGAGAGAGAAAGAGAAACGAGATGAACTTATGAACCTATATTATTATTTCAAGATACAACCAGCAACAGGGATGACAAGGGGCAGGGTAGCGCGAACAAGATATTAATGGACAACTTTCTGGGACACATGAAACAGTTACACAACAAGGAACTCCTATTGACCTCCGCTGAGTCGCAAAAATTCACGAAAATGCTTCTCGAGAGGCGTCGAGCCGGTGGCCCCCCTTTACCGTTCTTCTCCGAGAGAGGTATATATCACTATCCATTTCCATTGAAATTACACGAAATTTTTCACCTGCATCCACACCGATGTGACATTTCGATCCTTAAAAACCGTTTCCAGAGAGATTGTCCTCCAACGTCGAGCTCAACTCCTATCCGCGGTGGAAATGCTTCATCAAAGGGATCAGCACGACTCATGTGATCATCACGATATTACCAGCGTCCGAGAAAGACGTTGTACGGTTGTTCGCGTCAACCTCGAGCGCAGAGGAACAGTCGACGAGCAACAACTCCGAGAGGAACAGCGAATCTGTTGTGTTCAACGTAGATTTAAGCGAAAGCCAAAACAACGCGTGCTCAAAGTCTTCCACGACGGATGTTAACCTGACTGACACAGCGTCAATAGAAAATAACGAGACGGCGTTCTACGATCAGTGCATCGAGGACAGTGTAACAAACGCGGACACGCAGCGGGGATCTCACGATTGCGAGGAATCCCTTGTTATTCCAGTTTACGTGTACGACTGTTCGTTGGCTCTGCTGATCGACACGTTGGTCGACAAGTTGAAAATCTCGCACAACAAGGACATTTATCAGGATCACACGTTCAAAGTTGGCCAGCAGGAGTGTAAAGATTTTATCGAGCTGAGGTCTGATTGTAACTCGAAGCCCTCGACCCCGGAGCCGAAAAGCGAGGATTCCGACAATACTGCCAGCGGTGGGTAAAAATAATATATACATGCGAGTATAGTTCATTGACCTTTCGCGTTATAACGCTTATTTGTAATGATTATTATGTAATGATTTTCTGTACGACAGATCAACGAAGCCTTGTGGAGCATTGCAAACAATTAAGCTTGGCTCACTGTCATTGCTACGTGGTTGCAGTTTACAAGTCGCTGGTATTGCAACAACCACTCACCTACGACGACATGGAAGCCGCAGTAGAGCAATGCGAGGAAACCCTAATCGAAATTAACATAACAAATTACCTGCGGTCTGTGTGCAGACATCTGAGCAAGCTGTCAGACAAAAACTTGCTAGACGAGCTGAGTCCATCGGCGTGCAACGACGTTGAACCGTTGCACAACTTGATCAAGGAGAAGTTCGAGAGGATAATCACGATTGCGTTCAGACCGGTCCCGGCGCATCCTGAATTTTATTACTGCTCGCCGTCCTGGTCCGAAAATGAAACGGTTCGTAGAGTGAGTGATCCGAATTGCGAATTGCTCGAGCATCACATCATGATCGAACGAATAATTGTTGTTTAACAGGATCTTCCAGAATTTCAAAAATCGGACAGCGAGGACGAGATAGAGAATCTTATGCTTCATTCGATAAACATCGATTCCACGACACGCATTCTCAATGGAAAAGGTAAGTTACAAGTCATTTTTTTTTTTTGTAAATTTGAGATTCGAAAGAAGTGAATGGGAAGAAGAGTAATGCTGCTTCGTTTTTGGTTTCGCTCATTAAAAGATTGCTCTTGTCTATTATGTACAAGCATACGTCATTAATATAATTGTTAGCATATCGAATAAAATAGGTAATGAACGATAAATAAACGTGTTGTTTGTAATTGCACGATCAGGTAACGTAACGTGGCCAAGCAGAAATGTCAACAATATTTCCAAAATTTCAAGACACGGCTCCGCGGACTCAGTCAACAGTGACCTGCAGCAAAAGAGTATCCTCGGGCGAGAACAGCCGTTGTTCTTACAGTTAAGTTGCTCTGTTCGATTCCAGTCTAGATCTGGCCTTAGCAGCATCCCCGTAAAGTCCCTGCCAACGTGTTTCATGGAGATTGTGCAGAAGATGGAAGATTACAAAGATGAGGACATAGCGAATTTGAGTTTGGCTGATTTGAAGATCACTTTGGACATCATTTGTTTAAATTTGCCGAGAGAGGTGCTGGAGATAAGTTTAGAACGACACTCTGGCCTAAGGGCGACGTCATTCTGCAGCGGTTCACCTGTAGGTAGCTTGCGAACGGAAAGCGGAAGCAGCTTGGAGAACAATGCTAAAAACGAACTGTTTCAAGAAAAAATGTCTCATTTGCCTTTGTGCCAACATAATGCTATAAGCAACCTGAGGGATGAAATTGAGTGGCTGTTGCAGGATGAAACTGCAACCGCGTTCCTAGACCAGCCCGTTATAAACGAAAACGTCTTGAACTTTGTTGCGAATCATGTCTCCGAGTCGACCGGCAGATTTAGCTGCAAAGTGGAAAAAGTCCCTCTGTATTTCGTATATCCTTCGGACGATAGTAAACCTAAATTTATAAGCGAGTTGAAGAGACTTCAAATCGACAAGTATTGCATCCGCCAAGAAGGAAATTTGTTCTATTTTGTGAAAAATGTAGAACAAGCGAACGACGTTCAGAACGAGACGAAGGAGTCAAAAATAAAAGGTAGTCTGTATTTTTCTCAAATTAAAACTGAAAGTCTATGCAACATCAGTCAAATATTTATAATTGTCATTGATATTCCAGATACATGTAGTGCTCCGGAAAATCTGGAACAGGAAAAACTGCAAGAGAGCGTGAGCTCTTGCACAGAGAAGAACAATCTCAATATACGCTTTAAATCTCAGGAATCTCATTCTGACAGTACTGATTTGACACATGAGAACCAAAATACTGAGGATGGATGCAAAGAGAGTAATACATCGGAAAACAGATTTCAATGGTTAATAGATCTTGATAATCGTAAAAGTTTCTTACCCAACTTTTGGTTAATTTTAAACGTTGAAAACGATTCCGTCAATGTCTACTTTCACTGTAGGTAAGCAATAATAATTCTAATAATCAGGACATGGACTGATACACGAGTTATATTTTTAAATCGAGTTCAAAGAGCATGTCGTATATACAAGCATAAATTTTTTTTTTTTATAAAAAGTTCAACATGTCAACCGCGAATGTGAATTATAATTTAAATTGTCGATAGGTTTTTAGAGATCATATCGCCCGAAGTAAACAGTTACTGGCATACCCAGAAAATGCTGGTCTCTCAAATAAAGAGTACTTGTCGTCGAGTAAACCAGTACTTGCTCTTACAAAACCTTCACAAGACGAGCAAATGCTCGGAACTGCTGGAGACAGAAGCGAGCGAAGATTACAATTGGAAAACAGAGACGACGAGTGAATTTAGCAGCGTCGCTGCGAATCGAGATTCGATGCAAAATTTTACTCCGGGGATGTTTCGGTGTCGCGTCGTTTGGAAATTCACGTTCCGTCTGCATCCTCGATTGAAGACTGGCCCGGGGAGATCAGGCCTTTCTCGAGGCATAAAGGCTCTGCACGGTGTACTTAATAGATTTGCTGTTAATAACCGGAGCAACATGTTCGTATATCAAGAGAACAACAAAAACGTGTTTTACCTAAGGCTACACGAACAGATCAGCGATGGAAAAGCTTTGCAGAACAAATTGTCGGAAAGCGACGAACAGCTTGTCGTTTCTAGGAGCAACAGCGTGGTCTCATTGTCGCAAGTTAAGCTAAGTGATAACGCAGCGGTGAACGATACAAGGCCTCGAGTCCGATCATTCAGCGAGAAGGAATCAAACATTTTAAATAAAACCGAAGACTCGATCATCTTGATGGTGCATGGAATCTCTGACGCCGGGCCAGAAGTTAAACGGGATTTGGTACAAGTTCTACAAAATCGCTTGGACGACGCGGTCTTGGAAGTTCTTTCGGTTATGTTAGCGAGGAACCCAATGTGCAAATTGACACCCGCTGACGTTCATTTCATTCAGCCGCCAAAATCACCGGAATCCATCATACGGCTGAGCGTGCAAAAGCATTGCACTGGATACATAACTGCCTTAGAATTTTACTTGCGTCAGAATATACTTCAGTTTCTGTACATACCAAAGTACACTGACAACAGGCCAGAATATCATTTCCAAGACTACTCGCAACGCGAAGGATCTACCAAAAGGATTTCGGAATCGGACATCTTTTTGTATAATCAAAGCCACTCCAGTGGGAGCAAAGGAATCGCTTGTATAGCTTTAACAATTGCAGGAGAACACGGTGAGCCGGTCAGATCGTTAGAAAATGAATTCCCCAAAGACAGTTTCCCTGAAACGATAAACGTGGAAGATTTCAAAAGTATCGTGTCGACGTCGATTTATGATAAGAATTCGACGGAATCGCCGCCTCTGATCGAGTTTAAAATATGGAAACAGGGCAGAGTTAATCTCGAATCTCTGTTGCAGAAGCTATGTTCTGCGGTGAAACATGCAATCTGGGACTTAGTCACGGAATATAAATTTTTGTCAACTCCATTGACAGAACCGCTTGTGGAAGGTACTCAAGATCAATCGCATGATCTAGCGATCGATCGATTCGAGGCAGGTGAAGAAGGGAAGTTACACAGCATTTACTGCGTAACATTATCACAATGGTTTCGATTTGCTTTAGAAATTGGAGTACCGTCGGTAAAAAGGCATGAGATAATCCTCACTCACAGACATCCTATATCCACGATCATTACAGAATTAGAGGCTCTTATACAGAGTCAAGCGCCGGATACATCCAGCAGAGCTTTTGTTCTAAAAGACAGACAACCATTTATCGAAAGGTATATATCAAATGAGGAATTATTGACTGGGCTTAGGAAGAATAACTATTCCGTGTTGGAAAATGAAGGGAAGCTAGACTTGCCCGTCTACATACCGTGTGATTTTAGTAAGGATGTACAAGGAACTTATACTAAATGTATTTTAATAGCTAGAAACTTTCATCAATGGAAAGCTTCGTTCAGCAGCACGGTACAGCCAGAATTACTTATCCCAAAAGGTGCTACCTATTTTATTGCTATATATCTTTCTGAGATAAATTAAAAATATTTGTTCAATTTGTACGATATCTTTTAACATAATTTTTCTTTATTGTAGATCAAAAACTTTTGCAAAAGTTCAATCCTTTGATATTAGAATCTAATTTTGTTTCAAGACAACGAATATTACTTGCTGAGGTTCGGAGCGATAATGTAAGTTATTATTTATCCATGATCAAAATAATAGCAATAATAACGTATTGTATTTTTATTCACTCTGCATTATCTGACATTCTAACATTAATTACAAATGAAATTATAATCGCAGATAACTCTCTACATGTACAATTGGTCGAAAGAAAAGTCGGAGAAACTAATAAAACAAACTATACATTTGGGCACGTGGCTGTCATCGAGATCAAATTTTTTTACAAACGCAATAATGCAAAAATTAGGTATATTCCATCATCGGCCAAGCTTCTCGAGGGAACATGCAAACTCGCAATATCTTCAAATCATGGACATGGAAAGTCTCACGAAGTTCTCTGCCATGCCCCACAACGACGGAAAAGATTGGACGAGATTGAACAGCAGACCGCAAAATATAAAACACAATCAATTCTCATGGAACGAAGTAATCGGCCAAACAATGCGCGATGTGAAACCTAATAATTATTTTCATAGCAATATAGACCCGACTGTGAAAGCCGTCTGCGATTTACAGGATTTGCGATCGCGCGAGAGAAAAGTTAAAGGTGAATGAAAACATGGAATTCAACTTTATTCTAATTACTACTTATACTAATTCAAATTAAAATTAAAATAGTATAATGAAATTTTGAAGCTACGATACTCACAGAATTGTTTTCCAATTTTCAGAGGATTTGAACAAGTTATACGCAATGTGGCAAAATCGTAGTGCTGCTCCGAATATTCCAATCTCAGTCATTGCTCTAAATACTTTCAAGCAATATTCTCGTTTGATCCATTTCTGTCACACACCACTATTGTTTCTACCATCGTGGCGTTTACAATCTGCGGCTACGAGAGATCACTCGCTTTCGGCGCAATCGTCTTTGAACACAGGCATCAGCCTATATCAGCAACTGTCGCAACAAATGCAAAAAAATCAGAATGAACAAACAAATATCATAAAGTGGCACAAAGAATTATGCAGTTTGATGTTGTCGGAATACAAGCAATATCTTCACTCGTTAGGCTTTAGTTCAGTGCAAATAGAGTCGTCAGACAAGAGGTAAAATAAAATTTAATTACTATTATTTAATTATTATTAAGTTACCTAAAACGAAAGCCGATAGTTTTTGATTATACATATGTATTTTCAATATACGGGACTTGAATTTTAAACATGAAAAAAAGAGAGAGAGGGAGAATTATTTTACAGAATAATATTACTTTTCAGTTTCGAAGGAACAATCCAACAACAACAATCTTATTATCTTAAGAAATCAATGCTTGGTGGAGTATTGTTATTTGAAATTCACTTGTCACAACCATTTTTCATTGTTAAATTACATATTATCGAATGCAGTCGACTACAAACGAAAACGAGTAGCGCTTTAGTGAATCAAGTAAGTTCTGACTTTCTTATTATTATGTTTTTATCAATACTACATACAATAATCCACACATGTAACAAAATTTTAATTTGTTACAGTTTATGCTAAGTTTTGTGGATGCATGTGACAAAATCAAAATTAGTATGCATCTACATTCATTTACATATGATTTTCATTTACGTTGTATACATTCGTACATAGCTGGAACTGGACCTTGGTTAGTGCAACAAGGTTATCATCTCATTCATTTTCTCGATGATTTTAACAAATATTATAGCAAAGCTCCAAATTATGCGAGAAATCTTATATACAGTGGTAAGTAAAATAATATTTTGTGTACTAGGTACTATTTGTAGTTGTAATTATAAAATTAAATCCTCTTATAAATTGATCATTTTATTGTTTCATCAACACATCTTTATATTTTAGATGTAGTAACTATTCGCGATTTGGCGATATCAGGTCGCACGTTATATTCCTATTTATTATCTCATGAGAAAACTTACAACATGCGTGTATTTGTAATGAAAAGTGATCTCCAAGATTCTGAAGAAAGTGAATACGTTTTAGTAAGCTTAAAGAGCACTCCTTTAATCAGTTACTGCGACGCACAAGATACTAAATATGCTGACGATTTCGATGTTGTTCTTATTGTGTCACATTTAGAACAACCTCCACAACTAGAAAAAACTGAGATTACTTTAAAATACTATCTAATGTTAACGAGCAAGAGAGAATTATATCCAAAAAAAGAAGTAGAAAACAATAAACTCGGAAAATTTCGTACGGTGTACAACGTTGAAAAATCTATATGTACTTATACCGAGCCTGTTATAAGTACTTTAAACGAATCTTCAGCTGATCTTCAAGAAGGTAGACAAGTTTCAAATGATAAAAAAAGTGATGCTAAATTATACAGTACTAACTTTGGTACAAATTGTAATAATACAGGTGCACCGACACCTCCGCCTGTACCTAATTCTCCATTGACTCAAAATGTAAATCCTCCAAGTATTTCAGTAAATTCATCACCACACCTGATTCAGATACGACAAGAATCGATTAATTATCTAGGTTATTACTCTTCGCATGAGCAACTTATGCAACAAACAATAATGTCCCAAGCAAATACAGCTCGAATGCATATAATGAATATGATCAAACGTGGAGCATTACAATGCAGGACACACCTTCTTTGGAATAAATTATTAGAAAGTAAATCTGCCATGAATTATAACGAATTCTCCGAACTTTGTTCTCTGGCCCATGTTGAACCTTTATTAAACTTGGATCCAAGATTAAGGCCATTTATTAATCAGCCAATTTCTTGGTATCAGTCCTTATCAAAGGTTTTACAAAATAAATATCAAGAACATCATAAACAATTCAATACACCAGACGGAAATATTACTCATCTACTGATACTGCATCCAAGTTTTTTCCAAGTTTTCATGATGTTAACTATAGATCTACATGCCTCACGAGGGGTTTGTATCAATATTTTTGTTGTTGTTGTTTATGTATAATTTTCTCATTTCTCATTTCTAGGACCTGTACGCAGTTTACTGTAAATCAGAAGAAATGATTAATTCTTCGTGCTGTATAGAAGATACATATAATCTAATAGAAGGTTTTGTGAATGCTTGCTGTTTTAATTTATGGATGGGTCTTTATAATTAATAATAATTGCACATTCCAAAGAAAAAAGTTTCCAGATACTTGTACTTATCATTTACATATATAGAAATAACATATATGAAAGTAATTTCATTGTTTAAAAACATTATATATATTTTCATCGTTTGTTATATTGTACTGTAATTTGTATGGAACATATATTTTTTTTAATTTCAAAGATTTTATATTTTTAACTTGTTACCTCCCTGTTTGAAAAATGGATTCCTCCAAGTTCAAAAATTGGTAAGGATGTATCAAAATAGATTTAATTGTTTACACAATATCCAATTACTATCTAATCGAATTGTGATTCATCAAATTACTTTTATTGAAAATGAACGACACAATGGCCAATCATGCCACTGTGAATTCTTAATTAACAGAACTCGGCAATACCTGGTGATAATTAAACCCTCTCAGAAAAAATTATTATATTTAGTTGAATTAATTATAGGACTCATATAAACTAAATATTGATTATTATATGTATTATATGTATATATAATTGGAATTAACTTAGTTTTTATTTGATTATTACATTATTTATTTTTTATACATTTACTGTTAATGTATTTTATGCAATTATAATAATAATAATAATAATACTGTATAATTTTTGTATTGAAAATTTAAAATAAATAAAATTACACAAGTATTTTTTTCTTATTATATATTTAATACTCGGTACATACAGAGATACCTGCACGTGTTACCGAAAACTGTATGATGTAAGATTATACCATAACCTACATTTTGATTGTTTTTGTAACTAGTTCTTCAATATAAATTAATATCTTTAAGTAATAATGACCGTCAAAAATACAGAAAATGAAGGAAATTTTAATACCGAGGAAGCAGAATATTCTGACCTTTATCCAAGCAGAAAGAAAAGTCAAAGCAAAATCAGCACTTGGTTTGACAAAATTACCTTCAACAAACAACGGGAAAATTATCAAAAGTTGCAGTGTGAAATTAATGTTTTTCAATGTGTAAAAGACAGTAAGTTCTGTTTATTTAAAAAAAATTGTTATGATCCTTTCTACTTTAAGCGTATTATATAGTTATTGCAACAAAAATATTATTCCGAATATTTCAGCGGCATAGCAGTTAGCTGTTTTTTAGAAGTTAAATATTTTTCTAAAATTGAAAGATGTCATTATAAAAAAATAAAATTATAAAACAAATTTAATATTATACTTTTACTTTCGTAAATAGTCATTAATGCATGTATAATTGTATCACATTGTACATTATATATTGTATAATAATTAAGAAATTAAGTAAATTATGAATTATATTTCAGGTCCTTTAATGAAATTATTACTGGGAGCATTAAAAAGTTCAGGATGGTGAGTTATTGAGATTTCCAAAATATTCATGGTTTTTTAGAAATCTATTTTTGCATAAATTTCATTGTACAAGCAAAAGTACAATTGCATTTTGCAAGTTTGATTTGTTTAATCTATTTTAGATCATAAAATATTTCAAATTTCATTTAAGTAGACAGTTTGTAATGCAAGTATTCTTATTATTAATATTATTTTATTTACAAAAATTTCAGTGAAGTTGAACTTGGTCGTCATATTTCATGTGAAGTATGTGATGAAGTAGTTACTGGTGGTTATGATCCTGAGACAAATCAGGTATATATTACTAGATATCTTTGTTTATATTATTTTACATAAATAATATAAAATATTTTACATATAAAATAAAGTATTTATATATTTTAGATTATAATTTGCCAAAATACTGCTAACAGTAAAAATCGAGTTCATAGTACATTGAGTCATGAAATGATACATATGTTTGATTATTGCCGTAATAAACTTGATCTACAAAATTTAAATCACTTAGCTTGCACAGAAATAAGAGCAGCTAATCAATGTCATTGTAGTTTTCTTGGTGCTTGGATTCAAGGAACTGCTTCACTTTTCAATATTAAAAAAGCACACCAGGTAGGATACATTTATGGTATATAAAAATATATTGCACAAAAAAATTAATTTCATGGAACTAAAATATCACTTAAAAGAACAAAAAAATGTTCGAAAAGTATTATACTATGAAGAAATAAATATAAAACTGTTTAAAAAGATATTTAGTAATATATAATTATATTTTTGCTTTAGAATTGTGTTATAGACAAGGCTGTTAGATCAGTAATTGCTATAACAAATATATCGAAAGAGGAAGCAACAGAAGCTGTGATGCAAGTTTTTGACAAATGTTACAATGATTTAGAACCAATTGGAAGACGTCTTCGTCGAAATTCATTGGATATGGAAAAAGCATATTATGATGGAATGTATTATGGATATATAGATTAACATACATCTTTTAAAATGTTTTTGGTTCCAAATGTAGTCTTTTATTGTATTTTGTACTGTAAAATAACACGCTTAGAAAATAGTATTATTTTTAGTGTTATTTTGTTATATCATTTTAGTACTTGTCTCAAGTGAAACTGAAAAATTGTTATTTTTATTGTTCTAACTACAAAATACTACAACTATATGTATTGTAACATTATGAAACCACAGCTGATTCAATGTTACATTTTATTTTTTTCTATAAAAATTTTGAACATTTTCATATAATAAAACAAAGATAAGATTTTTGTTTATAATTTTATAACAAATATATATATCTCATTAGTCCTTGCAGTTAAGTTTAGTGAATTGGCCAAAGAATTATTCATTCGATTTAGAAATTTTTGATCTTTACATATATATAGAATATTTTGTATTAAAAAAATACTGCATCTTCTATTCAGAATAATCTTTCAGTTAGTTATACAGTAAATTCAAATGTAAGAAACTTGCAATTATATAAAAGTAGGAGCATTACACATATTTGTAATTTTTACAAATATTGAAATTATATACTAGAAATAAAAAATTATATACTTAAAAATGACCATATAATTAAATATAATTAATTTTTAAACTGATACTTCTTAAATCATTAAGATATATAGTAATATATAATAGCTTTCAATAATATTATACAATACTGTCAACAAGAACACAGATACACACCTTACAATTATCATCAAATGTTATCCAGAACATCCTCTGCATCCACAATGGATACATTCTACTATTCTACCTTCTTCAAGTTTGCCTTTAGGTACCCTGCAAATGCAATTTGTGCCAAAGTTAGTATCTCTGTGCTGTATGCAACGCAAACAGCACAAGTTTTCGTATCCCACTTTCTTCCACTTTGCTATTAAATTTCTGTCTGCTATATTCTCATTCAGGCAATAATCATACAGTTCTAGAACCAAAAAACATGGTAAACAAGAGTAGAGCAAACAAATAAATAAAACAGGTGGTAACATCTTACCACGACTTATTGCTTTTCGCCTGTAATACAAGTCATATATGTATCTTGATTTTTGGTGATGGATTTTGAATATGGGCCACAATGATTCTTGTTTCCGTTTGCCCTCGTGAGGTTCAGTCTCGGCTGTGATTCAAACGAAACAAAACAATTAGAATTACATTGAGCAACATTTAATTCATATAAAAGATAAAAAATAAAAATTAGCGCAACTCCTCTACTATAACCTCTATTTCCTTCTCAAAATTACCTTCGCGCATTTTCTGTTCTAATTCCTCCAACGTTGGTTCGATCAATTCCCAACCGTCCGGAGGAGGTTTCTTACTTCTACGTACTTTCGGCATTTTTAATTCATAGATTAGAAGTAGATTATTAAAACCGCAAACAGAAATGTGAATTTAACATGGTCTGTTTGTGTTCCGAAAGCGATGTTTTGTTACAATGGTAATAGAATCTTTTAACGGCCTTAGCGTTACGTATCGGAAGTCTTTGTAATTCCAGTGTTATTTTGTCATCCTAAACAGAAATATTTTTCTGAGCATAATGATGCACGTTACTCTTACTACAGCTTACAGGTGAGCAACAGCGGCGTGCCGCTTTTTCGAACTCTGGATGATTTTTTCTCCAGAAATGTCAATGGAATCTGATGTTATTTAAACATGATCTCGTATATCACGTTGGAGGCGAAATTTGCTGTAAAATAAACACAAGTGAGCAACAACATTGAAAACAAATCGTTTCAATCTAGTTCAGAGGATTAAAATAAATTCAATACTTTTTACAAAGCGCCAAAAACATGCACAAAATATTTGCGCGCCAATTCTTTTTGAATTGTTTGGAACTACGAAATTTAATAACTTTTTACATTGATGTGAGTAGAAATCAAGAATTTAATATTTTGAACAATAATTGAGTCGGAGGAACATACTCTGATTACAAACGTTATTATTTTAAATTTTTCTGCTAATTTTTTATAATTTTTACTCTTACTACAAGTACCATGATCTATCTAAAAAATAAACGAGTGGCATGACACGCGAGATCTTCTATCAGCTTTTAAGACGAATTGTATTGAAATTCATTATGAATAGTGCATTTTAGCATACGTGTTGATTATCTTTGATCTCATTAAAAAAATAAAATGATGAACGGAGAACATTAACAGAGAATATTAACAGAGTGCTTACAGATAGATCTATTCATTTTATAGTTTGCAACGGTGCATGAAAAAGAAATTTAGAAGAAAGCAAGAAATTCTAATAAAACAAGTAAAACAATAGTTATTAACAGATTGGAAGAATATGAAGAGTAAGTGAATTATATGTATTAACGTAGTGTTTTTCAAAATTGTATCAATTTCTGAATGAACAATTTTATTTTTGAATCTCAAAAAAACTTCATTTAATGTGTACATATGAATGTATGTAATTATTTTTTTTAAATAAATTTTGTTTGCGATTGTTATTATACTGTAATAATGTGTGTTTAGACAAAATCTTCGAGACAGAAAAAACTAAAATTCTAACATGGAGACCAAAAACTCAGTATGAGTCATTATCAGCTATCATTTGGATTAATGAAATATTTGGTTTACGTATATTTGAATTTCGAAGACGTCTACGATATAGCTGGAGCATAATATATGTTAGCGTATGCATCGTTTTATATTTTATCATGTATAACAAGGTGTTATCTCATTGTGAGAACAGTTGGCCTGCGTACCAAGAGATCAGTTATAAATTTGTTTTATATGTCAACATCCCAATTATTTTGCTTTGCATTGTTCTTGGACTTGTCAATACAGAAGTACGTATTTATATAATAAATTGCTAAATGTTTGAAATATATAGTAAACTTTCAAAAATTCTTTCTCTCTCATCGTAAATTTTTTCTTTTTTTTAATTTGAAGAATTCGAAGAAAATTATTGCACGATACGAACAAATAGACAATGTTTTAGAATCCTTTGGCATTGAAAAAGATTATCTAAAAACATTCATCTATGTTATACAAGTAATAAGTGCGTGGTGCATACTGATGGTAATTCTTTTTATACTTGGTTGGATTTGGTGCTGGACTGATACTGATATTATAGAAGCATTCTATTTAAATCTTCTACTATGTGTACCAATTATGATCAATTGTTCGACGAGTGTCACTTTCAACACATTTATAAGGTAAATTATACAGAAATAAAAATGTTACAAGCTGAAAATTATCTGGACGAAAAGACAGTGCTTCGTCTACGATATAGCTATTTCCAGATACTAAATTTAATTTTTTAAAACTCAATGATCAAGTACATAATTGGTGATCATTAGATCAATTCTTACCTCTAAGAAGCATTTTTCTTATAAACAATTAACTTTTCAAATATTTGTATTATAAATTCAATACTCGTGTTTCTATTATGCATCCATTTTCTTACGAAGAATGTTAATTTAGAATTTTAAGAGACAAATTGCACAAGATGAATACAGCAATAAGTGAAGTACATCAGTCATCAAATGTGAATGGTATTGATATGGAATACAAGATGCAGCAAACGGCACATAAATTTGTACTTGTAAGGAACTGTTATAATCAGAATAATTTTCTTCGGCGTTTCGTTGAAATTACAAGGTATATTTGATGTCTTCTCAAATGATATTATAAAACATAATGTCGTTTATTACATCAATAATAATAAAATCGTTAATAAATTTTTGATTTTATTATTAATCTGTCTATTTATCTGTTAAAGGCAAATGCATTTTGAAATTGTAAGTGTTTCGCGCGAACTTAATCAAATATACAGTTATCAACTTTTATTAAACCTGGCAATGGAATTTATAGTGATAATATGTACACTGTATAATTTATATTTCGACGTAATATCATCGACTCTGGCAGAAATTTTGCACTCTAAAATAGTGATACCAATAGTATTATTTTTTATATTTTCTGCTAAAGTTATTATTATAAATCATGAGTGTACTTATTTCCATCGCGAGGTAAAATTATATATTTTATTATATATTTTTACTGTGACGAAAGTGATAGCATATTATATAAATATTGGCATTTTTTAGATAGAAGTAACAGCGCAAACGCTTCGAGAAATAGAAATCTCTTGCATAGATGGTTCTATCAAAGATGAGGTAAAGAGAATTCTAAAAAAATTTCTAAATTACCTACTCTTATACCACATCACAAACGAGGTATATGAATCATACACCTCGTCTGTGATCACGTATCAAAAATTTCATTATATTTGATCTTGTACACAGTGATCTTCTCTCTAGTTAACAATGACTTATATTTCAACAATGATTTTTAATGCTCCAAAAACACATTTAGCAGAAAATTGATTTTCAATAACGATAATTTCAGCTGCAACAATTTTCATTACAACTCATTCTTTATCCTTTATATTTTACTGCTGCTGGCTGCGTTTTTCTTGATAACCAACTTACAACGAAGGTAAATTGAGTATATATATCATCAATATTGATTACTTCGAAAAACATAATATTTCTTTTCAGTTTTTTGGTACTTTAAGTACCTACTTGGCCATATCAGTTCAAATGAGTTCCACACCTATGCAGTCTTGAAGTCGCAATTTATGTAATTAATGCAATTAATATTTACATCGTTATTTGATATCGTCACATTCATAGATCGTGATTATTTATCATAGTTTACGACACGCTGTTGTAATTTATAAGCAAGCAAGTGAATAACTGAAAAAAAGATATGTATGGATATCTTGATTAATAAAATAACTTTTACAGTAAGAATTCTTCGTTAATAAAATTTCAATACGTCGGTACATGTGTGTGCATATGACGATCAATAGTATTCAGTAATGTAATTGCCATTTGCACGTTTATTATTTCAAACATGTTTACATGTTTCAAAAGTACTTAATCATCAGATAACGGCAATAATAGATATTATGAAGAACTCGTATCTCTATTAGATAATTCATACATCGTTCCTAGCACGACACATAAAAAAAATTACAGAAATTACATTAAAAAAAAAAAGAATATATATCCGAATTGATCCCAATCTCCATAATAATAATTAGTGGAACTATCGTATAGCTAGTATAACACGTATCGACTGGAGCATTTTTAAGTAAGAACTTTCATTGTAAATGAAAAAGTTATTCATATTCTATATAAGCACAGTAAAAAAACGACCAATAAGAGAAAAAAATATATCTGAAGAAGAAAATGAACTATATCTTGACTTATATAATTAGATATTTCTCTTATTGTTAGTTAAATTTTAATTAATTAATTCTTGTAAGAAACATGACTTACCAAGAAGTAATTTTCCTTATTAACATTTCCTTAATTATATGACACGAATAGATTAGGAACAACAAAGATTAGAAACATGTGCAGCCACAGCAATTGTAATTATTTTCGGTCTTGGAAGTTTCATAGGAATTTTTCTTACAATCTACTTCCTCTTCTATACGAAAACCATACGTTACATTATTTTACTTTGGATGTACTACGACTGGGACATGTGCTGTAGGGGTGGTAGAATTTTCTTTTTTCTCAATCGGTATTTCAATGGAGTTACCAAAGATAGAACACAGACGAGGTATATGAACCTTCATATACCTATATTATAATTCAAATATAGTTAAATAATAAATTTTTAAATATTTTTACTACATGAAAATGTAAAAATAATCTACTTTTAGTTCATTTAATAAGAAATTTTTTTAGGAAAAAAATGGGTTCCTTTCAAAACTAGAGTGTCAAAAATGAATTCGATTAAAATACTGATGAATTTTATAAATAAACTTTTTAATATAATAATGATACTAACTGTGATTTTTTATTACAAATTTTGTTAACATTCATACATGTCATATAAAAATAATATTATGCCAAAAAGATATACTAGTAGTCTTGTATGTTTATTACCACCTGCAAAACATTTTCCTAGTAATTAATATACATATGATATAAAAAAAGCTACTAGTATTTTGATAAAAATTTTGTTACCAATACAGTTACTACAATTATAACAACCACTGATGTAGTTGTCAACTGTCATAGTTATAAAGTTATAATTACAGTAAATAATCTAATTAAGCATGTTAATTGTAATGAACACATCAATAGTTCTCAGCCATTGACAATAATAAAAAAGATTAAAGATTCTCCTAAAATGAAAATTTCATTTTTTGTATAACATAGTGGTAACTTACTAAGAAATACTCAATATCATAAATCTAGACAAATTTAGAAATGATGAAAATACAATACTTAAACTATTTAAAATGGCTGAGGTTTTTCTGTATTAAAAATTAGTAATAATAATAATAAAAAAGTAATAGTAATAATAATAATAATAAAAAGAAAAAAATTTTTCTTAAATACACTATACAAGGACACACTACATTAATATTACTCTACAAATTATAACGTACAATGTTACGATATTGAACCAAAATTCATTGAACAAGAATTTTCTGTTTTATCTTCATCTCAAGTACCATTTTTCAACTTAAGATAATTATAAATACACATATAATAAAATGAATGAAAAGTATTTATGTAATTGTCTTTCATTTTTTGCAAAGAAATAAATTTACAGAACAAGCCACACAGCTTACTAATAAATCTTACTAAAAATTCTTACTAATAAATATCTGCATAAAATAATATGTATCCATACTACTTAATCAAGAGACAAATGAACACGTGTGTCGTTAGTTGCCAGTTTAACAAGTGTTTTTTTTACTCTAAGAATGGGTAGACGTGCTGCAGGTTTCCCATGCCAACATTCTTTCATTAATTTTCCCAAACCAGCCAATGTCTGTAAAATATATATATCATTATTTAATGTTAAATTTTTTTTACATTTACTCTTTGTAAAACAGAAAGTTCTAAAATAATACTGCGGATTACAAAAATCCGCTTCTAGAATATATAAAAATATTTTCTAGCATACATAAATGATGAGCAAAAAATAACGAACACTTTACAGAAATTTATATCATTACGAATAATTAAATATAATATTTTGTTCTTTAATATTTAATAATATTTTAATATTTAGATAATTAATTAGTTAATTAATGAATGAATTAAATATTTACTGGATCAGAATGCCATCTGTTAGGAAGGGGTGGTCTGTGCTGATCCAAACATACTAATTTTCTCATTTCTTCAATAGAAGGTTCTTGACTATTAGAAAGCCACTCAGAATATGGTGCTGCATATTCCAATGCAACACCATTACTTATACATCTTCTGCAAACTTCCCATAGTATCAAGCCTAAACTGTATATATCTGCTCGTCTGAAGTTCTCCAGACACTCTGTGTTTATCCTAAAGAAATATATCAAATAAATTTTTGCATTTTTAATTGACTTCATATATAAGATTTTAAATGTATTATTTATGAAATACATTTTACAAAAATTATTATTAAAAATGTTGAATAAATTTTTAATTATAAACTTAATATAATATAATTGAAAGTAATACATACGTTTGCTCGAGAATCTCTGGGCTCATATATCGTTTTGTACCTTGTTTTAAATCAATTCTATCTGTAGTCAAACGTTCTTGTGTTACTGCCAACGCAAAATCAGCGATTACACAACTACAATTAGTTTTAACAAGAATATTTTTAGATTTGAGATTACGATGTGCCATAGCCGGTTTTCCTCTAGTTCCGTGAATCTCAGTATGTAAATAAAGCAATCCATTCACAATACTCAAACAGATACTGAGTGTTTGATGATGTGTTAAAGAATGAGGAGTACGATTCAAATAATCGAAAAGTGAGCCCATTGGATGATAATGTGTCACTAGCCAAAGTTGAGTACAACTTGCTCTGCTTGTCATATCACTTCCGATATAACCAAGAATATTATCAAGTCTTGACGGCAGCAATTGAGAATAAACTTCAGTCTCACGAGCCCAAGCTGCCTCGTCTCGTGAAAAATATATTTTTACAGCAACATTTTCGCCATGCCATACTCCTCTCCAAACTTCTCCACCAAATCCACCATTACCACCGCTACCTAGGCATTCCACTAATGCAACTTGTTTAGCTAGTGTTCTTTGTACCAATAATGGTAAACCAGATCCTGACCCACTAGTTAAACTCCTTCCATCCAAGTATTCCTATTTCAACACATACATTGTATGTAGTATTTATATTTAAAATATAGAAAGCTACAAAATAAAAGATACAATAGAAAAAAAATCAATTTTTATATTCCTAAAATAAAATGAATTTTACATAAATCTCTGTATTATTTCAATCACACCTATAGATAATCAAAGCACACAAGTATATAATAAACATGTACCTATATTAAACAGATTAATCCATATTTGAATTCAAATAACTATTGTAAGTAATATCCTATACTTATACCTTTAGAGTACTATCACCAGCTGCAGTTGCTTTTAGTTCATGAGAATGATACGTAGTAGTGGATGTTGGAGAAGAAAATGAAAAATGTAGGATAGACGACTCCATTTCAGAATCTATAACAAGTTTATTACGCCTTGCAGCCAATGTCCTTTTTTTACGAGTCCTACATACCAATAAATAAAACAGCACTATTCCAGCAATAATGCAGAATCCAACCAAGGAACCCAAAATTGCCAATGTTAATTTAACTGCATAGTCTTCTTCAACAACATCTAAAAAATGGAATATAACATCATTGTACGAAATAAATATAAACAAAAATAAAATATACAATATTTACCTCCATTAAAGTCATGTAATATAGGAAATGGTCCGCCATTACACAAATCTGTTTGGCAACATTCAACATAATATTGTACACCATGTGGGAGTCCAGTAACATGTCTTTTTTTAGTAGTACTTTGAAGGATACGTGGCGGTAATTGCTTATTACACAATAACAACATATGCTCCATTGTTGAAGTACATCCTCTACTTACACTTTCTGCACCGTTTGATTCTTTTACTCTAGATTTCCAACACTATCAAATATTAAAAGATACATTACTTTTCCTAATATTCTTGAGGATTTTTGGTACAATAATAACAACAAGAGATGTTACAGTAATTGCATTATGGCAGATTTGAGTATATCGGCAATCTGGTCCATCACAGGTATGGCATTTAAAACGTTGTTGTCCAATTGAACTACCATTAAAAGCCATAATATCTATAGATTTCTGTGGTTCTTCACTTTCAACAGAAAAATCATTTTCTAATAAAGAAAGCTTCTCTTCTTCTCCTGAAAACGAGTCCTGTTAACCATTGAAATACATTTCAAGACATTATGAAGCATTATTTATAATCAATGCATATGCACATTTGTATGCAATTATTCAGATGTATGTATGTACACAAAATTAAACTCTAGTGCTAAGTCGACCAAAAAAAAAAAAAAAAAGAAAAAGAAAAGAAAGAAGTCAGAAAAACTCAGCAAGAATGAATGTGTTAGGTATTAATATGAAACGTTAAATAAGAAGAAAAGAGATGTTTCATTTCCGAATCATAGTTGTTAGAACAAAATATTTGTTTCACTGAAAAATATATTGCCCACCTGGACATAACTCGAGTGTCAACGATAATATAAAATATGTGATAAACATAAAATCCGCCATTGCCATGCACGTCAAAACATTGAGGAGCTAAAATCAAAATCGACACTTTCCTAAAATTTCTTTCTACGCGTGTCTACATACGATGAAATTAAAATAACTTCTATCTTTACAACATCAGTGAAAAATTTAACATACATGCGATCAGCATTGGATTGGCGGTATTTTATTTTCATATTAAAAAAAAGAAATATCTGCAGATGTCGTTACCATCGGTTTATTCCGTCCATACGATACGTTTAAATGCGTATATTACGTGTATATTAAAGTATAGCATATATATGTGTATATATATAAGATTACTGTATCGCGTGAACTTAGCTTTAGTACATTTATGCTGATAATCGATATGTAAATTAAGAGCTAAGTTTGAAATTATCAATACATATGCGAAATGCAAAATCTGTTGCACAATTGAACTAAATTCTCCCACGCTAAGTTTAGTAATAATACATGTTTCATTTTAGTTACCAAATATGTAATTTTATTTGCTTCACTTGTAAATGCGAGAATAAAAAATGAGCGATTGAAAACCGATGAGTAAGTACAATGAACATTCGGTAGTATTATTAAGCAAATAATAATCAGAAATGTTGTAAATAATACTGTTATATCCATATTTGAGGCTGTAACTTTTATTCAATATTTAGTAGACATAATTTAAAAACGGTACATTAAATATCACTAATGTATAATGTATTGATAATAGTATCTGCTTAAGTATCTCAAATAAAGTTCATAATATAGTTCTAATCATTCGAGAAACGATCATGCTTGACTATCGATGGCAGTTTGATATCTTAATATTAAATATTCGGCGGCCAGGATCATTTTTTCGATATTGTGATGCAGTCCGTGCAGGTGCCTTTTAAAAGATCGTGCAGCAACACTAACACTATCTTCGTTCTCCGCTTCAGAATCATTCTCAGTTACAATATCAAATTCTGAATTGCAAGAAGTACAGACACTTTGTATACTGTGCATCGACGTATTACTCGAATTCCTAGCGCGTATAAACTTTTGCAATAACGCGGGATCCTCTAAATTTTGAGCATTGTTCATGTGGTCCTGCGACCATAACACTTCGATCTTCATTTGATTGATTATGTTGTAAAGGCGATACAAATCGACGTTAGCCAATGTGGCTTTAATGACAGAACTACGTTTGTCTTCCAATTGAAGGTTATCCTGCGAATCGCCTACAGTTAAGTCTAGAAGTCGACTGGGAATTAAAATCGTATCTTCCATCTCACGCACTGTTCGAATAAATCGTTCCATACTATTCAAAATAGAGGTATTGCTAAATGCAGTAACGTCATGCTTGATTAATCTTTGAAGACTTGCCCTAAAACAGAAACGAGATATCTCCAGTATACGTTCCACCTTTTCATTTGCGTACTAAATCAACAGCACACAATATATCTTGATGCTTTGTAAATCATTTTTTCCAACACTATTTAATTGAAATATTTTCAGGCTCAGTTGTTTGAATTATTTTCGCGATTAAATTTATTACATAGAAATCTCTGGAAATGAAGAGGTGTCACAAATGTTACAAATAATGGAAACATTTGGATGAGGCATTTATAAAGTATTTTTACATACTGAAAGAACTATTAAATTTTTCCATTATTCGTGTCTATTGATCTAATCAAGAAACGTTTGAAATAAAATTTTATCATCCAATATTATATATTAACACTCCACACGAATTTCAGTTCAGAAAAAAAGGAAAATCAGATGAAGAATTATTACATACCTTTTGCATGACATTTCTCAATACACCATAAATTGAACGAGTATGGTACAATAAACAGAATAAAAAGACGGATAACAATACATTCGAAGGAACTCAAACACTAATGACGTGAATTTACCAATTTTATTACTGTAGCAGAGTGATAAATTAAATTCTAATGAATTCATTGAGTACAATGAAGTAAAGGTCTCTGGGTCATAATAAATATTGAGATTTGTTTCCGGCTGAAAGTTATACTTTTCCTATATTTTGTTAATCATATTCCTAAAGGTGAAAATTTTTATACCCCACACTTGACGTCAGAATCTTTCATTTAAAATAGATTTTGGAAATATAAAAGAAATCTGAAATCTTTCGCTCTACATGGTATTAATAGATTTACTTGTAACTATTAAAAAAGAAACGTCTCTCTAATTCTTTAACTCGTATGTTATTATCTGATTTCGATCTTGAGTAATAATTTCATTACATAAATATATAATTTATGGTTATTGCTTGCTTCAGACAATTTTTGAAAATCGACATGTAGTGCACGTATAACAATTTCAAATTTCCCTTCTAAATAACACATCTATCGATATCACAGAATACACAGCTAAGTTCATGCGATAGCACAATAATATTGTGTTTATAAACATATATGTATGCCGATGATATGGTAAGTGATAAAATGTTTGATATTATGTGCTTTGTTAATTTCTGCTGTTTTTATTCTCTTTAATTTTATATAGCAATGCAATATTAAAAATAACCAGTGAAAGGTTATAAGGTATCAAATTAATTGTAAGACGTATAGTCAATTCAAGTGAGTACACTTCTTTTAGTTGCATTGATAAAAATTTATATGACAGTAATTTGCAAGATAAATTATTTGTTTTCGTTAGGGAAGGAACAATAAACATTACAAGAACCATTACATTAACATGGCTCTTGCAAATATATCTGGCATCCCTGATAAACACTGGCAACCACCATTCGTAGCATTTGAAACAACGTAAATATATAATTATTACTAAACAGATTATTACTCTCCAATTTTAGTTTTTCCAATTTACTAAGCTTTCCAAATTGATGAATGCTTATGGAATTTTCAAGATCTTTATATATTCTTTTTACCTACACCATGCTCAGTGATCGTAGTAATAATACTGACAGTATTTCTGATTTCTCCATAATTTTTGAGCATTGCACTAATATAAATTCTCTACATTATAATACCATTTAGAACATCAATGTGTTTTTCATTTCAATGATAACTTCCCAAACATCTCTTGTTAATAAACATGATGCGACACATTCTAATATATGTTATAGCACTATTGTCATATCACTTTTAATGTGTAACAAAATATCATTGACAAATGTTTGGTTATTTATATCTGCTGGCATGTTTCTCTTTATATATTTATACTATTTAAGCATATCAATGAATTCATATGACAGCTGCCGTTGTACTGTTGGATTCTTTTCATTACAGTATGGGTGAAATAGTGATAGAACTTTATTGGAAACATGTGCCAATTACTTGTAGAAACTTTGCTGAACTTACGCGACGTGGTTATTATAATGGAACAAAGTTTCATAGAGTTATTCGAGATTTTATGATACAAGGTATCGTACTCTTTTTGCGACATTATATTTTTTCTTTTTGTAAATCGATTCTTCCGATAGTAATATACACATTTATTTAGTCCACCTCTATTTTGTTTTATAGTTTTGCATTGTATTTTAGGTGGTGATCCTACTGGAACTGGGAAAGGTGGTGTGTCTATCTACGGAGAATGTTTTGATGATGAAATACATGACGACTTAAAACATACCGGTACGATTGATGTAAATATTTTTCGTAACAGTAATATAAATATTACTGTTAATGATCAGTTTCCATGAAAAATTCCAAAAAGTTATAAATATGTAACATTGTGTTAATTCATGAAAAAAAATATTATATTGAATTTTTAGGCGCTGGAGTTGTTTCCATGGCCAATTCAGGACCAAATACTAATGGATCACAGTTTTTCATAACATTAGCACCTACACAGTGGCTTGATGGAAAACATACAATTTTTGGTAAATTAAATCCTGTCCATCTAACATGTACAAAAATTTTTGATAATTTAACGAACTTGCATTTTTTTCTCTTTTGTCAATAGGTAGAATCCATTCCGGTATGGCAATAGTGAAAAGGATTGGATTAGTAGAAACTGATAAGAATGACAGACCTGTTGATGATATAAAAATTGTTAAAGGATCAATAAGAAACGCGTAATAAAATAAACATGTCCTTGATGATTTATATTTCTTTAGAATTTATCTGTAATATAATATTTTGTATATATAATAAAATATTACTCACATTTTTATAGCGGATTCGAAGATTCATTTTCCTAGTCATTACATTGTACGTACATGTAAGTTTGCTATAAAAAATATACATATATAAAAAACAAATACAACATTCAAACTCACCACCCTCGATTCTTTAGCTTTTCAAATAGCGTACAAAATTCTTTGAATTTTTGTGCTTGATACAATTGTCATAGACATAACGTACCGGGTGGAATATAACTGAAAAAAATAGTAGACTAATGATTTATGTGAATATAATTTTTCATACATGTTTCAACTAAATATTATTTTATATTTTATATTTTATTTTTTCGCAATTGAAATAATTTACCACTGTTTGACCAGAGATTAGATTATAATTAATTTATATGAAATAGAGAACCTCATATTGTACGTAGTATTATCTTCCATTGGAGTAACTGGAAATTGATAAGTAGACTTCTCGCTCCATGGTTTTTCAACTTTATCTCCACTCTCCATGGGCTGATAACTCAACTGCATAATAGTTTCCGCTTTCATTGGAACATCTGACGGGCGGTATGTACGTATTGGTGCATAGTTAAGAGTAGGCGTTAACGATTTAGTATCATTTTCTAAGAAGGAAAGTTTGTAAGTAGTGCAACCTGCAATCAAATGCAAATTAATATTACAATATTACCACAATATTAAGATAATTATAATGAATGAGATTTTAAATGATTTACATGGTCAACTTCAAACGTTTATTTTATATAATATTGTTTATTAAAAGAGACAAAAAATTTATAATACATACATTCGATAGGTGAACACGCAGGAACAAGATGATCTGCGTGACGAGCATCTGGTTTTAATGGTATATTTTTCCATGTATAATCATGTTTCTGTGTGGTTACCTCTTGCATGGGCCCTCTACCTAATAATTGTTTATCACAAGGTATAATCGGTGGTGCTTGTTTAACACACCAATTGCCCAAAAAACTCATCTGAAATATTATACATATTCGTTATATGCATAATTTTATCGTGATCAATCATCTTCTAGCAACAAAATTACTTGGATAGTCGAAAAATTTAATTTTCTAATGCTGTATGTTATGATTATACCGAATAAAATTTAAAATTTCATACCCGATGTATAGTGTCATAAGATAGAGGACAAGACGAGAAGTGAATATTATCAGGTCGACGAATCAGACTTTCTTTATCTCCCCCACAGCCGAAATAACTTAGACGATAAGTTGTGTTATCATCGGTGCAACAACCAGCATTTAAAATATTATCACTTTCCTGTGTTTTGATTGGTGAACGTCTTTTCTCCGAATGTGGCCAATAACTTAATTTGTAAGTTGTACATCCATCTATTGGTTCGACAGGTGGTTTATATTCTCCTTTTTTCCATAAAGGTTCTTCCTGAAAAATAAACTTCTCTAAAACTCATGTCTTTCTCAATTGATGTGATCGTTAAATTTTGATTCCGTTTCCGAATAATACGTAGAGCCAACATGTACATAGTGAAATTGTAAAATAATTATAATTAAAATAACAGTATCTCATTGCACGCGTCGCGTCGTACAGAAACTTCTTAAGTTTTATTATTAGACTGAAAAATTGCATTTTTACCTTCATAGGCTCATTTGGCCAGTAACTAAGATTATATGTTGTATGATTTTCCATTGGAACATCTGGTTTAACATAATTCCTTATAGGAGCATAAGACAGTGTAGGCAGATTACAACCGGACTGATAGTAACTCAATTTATATGTTGTATCGTCTAAAACATCAAATTTTGTTCTATCAAAATTTTAATTAAATTTCAACTATACAAGATATGAATTTTTAATATTTAACATTTGAACTGGCATTTACATGTAACGTTCTTTAATATTATGGATATTTACCGACTAGCGGTGCAGGTGAACAGTATAAATTAGTTTGCGCTTTGTAAGGTTCTACTTGTGGTATAGACTTCCATGTGTAGTCGTGTTTTTGAGTCGTAACATCCTGTATAGAGCCTCTACCGAGCCATTGTTTTTCGCAAGGTATACAAGGTGATTCAGGTTTTACGCATAAGTGATTAAAATAACTGTTCTGAAGCAGTCGAAGGTAAGTACTCCATATATAAAAATTGGCAAGTTATGTTATATCCTCGGAAAGAAACTAACATCTTACTTTGTATGTTGTTTCGTCTGATATGTCTCCATCTCCGACAACTAGCCAATTTCGGGGTGGAATAGGATCTACAGGAAGACTCGGGCATTCCCAATAGGAAAGTCGATACGTAGTGTTATCATCTATTGGGATACCCGATTTCCAATAATACTGAAATAATATTTGTTGAGTGAGTTGTATCATAATAAAATATTATTAAGGAAAGAAGAAAATCTTCAAAGAGTTATTGTGTAAAAGTTTTTATGAATGCAACTGTTCTTCCAAATTTGCTAATTCTTCGAATAATTTATTTTTAGAATCTTTGAACTAAAATTTATCGGTGCTAATAATTTATTTTAAAGAATAAGGAATATGTGATATAAAGAATTATTTTAATTGAAGTTTTACACTTACGCGAATTGGGGCAAAGGACTTCGGTACTTCCGGTTGCACATATTTCTGTAAATAATTGAAATTTTTAAGAAAATGACTGTTTGATATAAAAGTAATGATAATGTACTTAATAGCACTTACATAGCATGTACGTTGAGTTGTACAACAACAGCAGTTGCAACATTCATCGTGATTTATCTAAAAGATTAAAACGATTAAAATTTTATTTGAAAAACGATATGTTTATATACACTAACCTAATACTATAATAATTTTATTCAAAATTATATTTTTAATTTACCTTAATTTTATTTTTCTCTTCGATAATTGATTGTCGTTGTTGCTTGTCGGCAAACCTACAATATGTTGTAATGTTACATATTATTATTTATAATTTATAAATTAAATTTTAATTCAATTTGTTATTTAGAATGCTATATTAACTTACGGATTGATAGTACAGATCTGCATGGTGATAATAGTGTTTCATAGTAGGAAATAATGTTGTTTTATAAAACTGAAAATATAAAATACGTTTTCATTTAATCAAAAGATTGAAAAATATAGATATTAAAAATAGTGAGCAAATTGTATCAGAAGTGGAGCATTTATACTTTGTCACATTATAAAAGTTTTATACCACAGTAGGCTATGAAATAATATTTATAAAACATGCCATTTAATATCTGCAATATTCATAGGTTTACATTACGAGTATAAAAGTGTAAGAGTATAAATTTCCTTTGTTTTATTTACCATTCAATCTTTGGAATAAATATTTTTAATAAAATAAAAATCATTCTTACAATTTATAAAATCGTGGTATTAATTGCTCAGAAATGCAGTTGTATTGAAATAAAAAATATTATAAATACCAAAAGTGAACATAATGAAAACCTAGTAATAAGAAAGACTAAATCCAGAAAATGACGAGCAGTTGAAAATGAGGTACTTTTTGTTGCACTTCCCGCCGAAAACTGACAGTTGTACGTTATATTTTAACGCTATAAATCGATCATGAGCAGTATCGATTATATTCGAGAGTTGCATTCGAAAAATGGCGCTGAAAATCTTTACGCGCGCATTTTGAACTACGATATATCATTTAATTCGGAATAAAAAATAAAATACTTTCTTTTCTAATCCTTGTATTAAATAAGATAATTGATTTAACAAAGTGTTTGTAATTAATTTTTAAATTCGCGTTTCTGCTTTTTTTTCAAATAAACATATTTTAATATCGAATCTTAGTTTCAATGAATTTAACTTATTTTTAATTTGATAATAATTTTCATATCTTTCAAACTAATCTTCATTGTATTCAACAAAATTTTTCTTTTACGGATACAACGCGACCCAATTAACTATTTCATAAGGACAATAGTATCGATTTTTTTTCTTTTGACAAATAATTTATGTATAATACTTCTGTTTATTGTAATAAATCGTAAAAACAATTTTTTAAGATCTGTACTCTAGAATGTGGGACACGAAATCTCGTATTATATCGTATCCATTCTATACTCAAAAAATAATTATTTCATCCGAGTATGAGAATAAAATTTATACAAAAGCAAAACAAGTGAAGTAATGAGATATTCAGTTAGCCTTTAAAGATGGAAGGTTTTCACTTCAATTTTTTGAGAAATTATAAAATAAAGAAAACCATAAAATAAAGAAATAACTTGATATTATTCTGCTAATTCAACTTTTAACACATTATGCAATAGTAAAATATATTTACGTATATATAATATAATAATATTATATAATATATATATTATTATATATAAAAGATACTCTTTCATTTATAATAATACGATTCATAAACAAAATTTTGAGATTCAAAATTATTAAAAAATTATGCTGTATAAAAAATTCTTTTTTAATAATGCACTTTTAAAGAACTCGTATAAAATACTTATAGTTTACATTCAATCAAAAAGATAAAATAAATTTGGAATTTTCTTACTACAATATGCACTTTGAAAAAATATTATGGTGATTAATTAACTTTATAAAATTATTAGTTTTGACAGATCTAGTAATCAATTTTACAAATGAAATTAAAAATATTTTATACATTAGAGCTTCATGCGAGAACTATATAATAATTCTCAATATCATAAAACGTAAACATTCAAGCACACTTGAAGAGAAATATATCTTTATTGAGTTTCTGGAATGTCATCTGCTGCTGTATTAATAATTCGTTCACGATCATTTGGTGGTGGTCTATGACGGCCTAGACGATATCTACATTTTCTTATTAGTTGAGGTATAATAACATTGTTATAGCAACACATTCCAATGAGTAGAACACTGAAGCCAATGAGCTAAAAATTAAATAAGTATGCGTTCATTAGTAATATAATTTTCAATTTAAATAATTGTGGAAATATGGGGAATGAGAAGAAAAGGGATGATCTTCATAAAAGAATGAAAATATTTAATGCATTGATAGACAGCATGATATTATACGAACAGAGGTGCAAAGATGATAACAGGATAGACAAAATGAAAAGAAACCACAGTAAATAGATGCTGGACTTGAACATTAAACAGGGACATTAAATTATAACTTTGATATAATTTCATGATGAATAGGAAAAGTTTAAACAATCTATCATAGAATTTACCTGTAAATAATGGAAAGCTTGCCACCTAAATGCTAAAGAGAAAGCCCATATGATAATTGTTCGAATACTATCTAATATCATTCTTGTGGTAGCACCAATTTCTTTGGTAACACTAATCCCAGCAAAGTTAAAGAAAGCTATACTGAATGATATACCTATAGATTATTTAAAAAATAGATTATTTAAAAAATAAATTTTTGACAAATAAATATAAGTAGATCTGCTTATACTAACCAACTATAGCCATCAGCAAATGACCACTATTTCCGATCTGGATGAATGCATCTTTAGTGGCTTCAAGTGTTCCTTTTGAATTATCAGCAAAAGGAGGTGGAGCATGTATAAAGTTAAGAGGAATCATTAGAATACATATACTAATGAATCCAAATATACCTAAATGAAACATTTTTATTAGAACATATTTTTATATATTAGATAAATCTTTTGTATTTTAGAAACATCACAAACCTTCCCAACCAACTGCTTGCAATGCTGGTATATTCTGTCCTGCTACAAATTTTTCTTCTACCACCATTTGAACAGCGGTTATAACCTATGATAATAATGTTCGAAATAAGGTAATTTTGTTATAAAATAGAAAAATATATAAAGCATATAAAATGAAAGTTTACCTGTGCACATATGATAAGTAGATCTCCAGTTAAAATAGAATTTGTGCTGACATCTGACTTTTCTATACTTATATCACTAAGCCCAACAAGAGCTAAACCAATTATAACCATTATTATACCCATCCATTCTCTACTATCTAGTTTTTTATTAAGAAAGCCCATTGAAAGCACAGCAGTAAATATTATAACAGCGCCACGAAACATTTGAAAACTGCTAGCATATGTCAAATTTAGACCAACATACATAATAGAAGTAGCACACGTATCACATAAGGCAGGAATCAGTAGAATAAAAGGATTAAATACATGTGATCCTTTAGTTAATGGATTGCTGTCTACAGAGTTGTCCTTTATAGTGATAAATTTAATATTAAATATTTTTTACTTAATAAACATATGTATATATATATATTCAAAAAAAGATACTTACACCTCTGCGACTATAATAATGATAAAGAACTTTAAATACTAAAAGACACATCATCTCTCCAATGAACATGAAAGACGATTGCATAAAAGGGTGATTAAAATGTCTGGGCTGACCATCTTCACCTGGTACAATTTGTTGATCTGCATATCTAAAATAAAAATATGAATTTGATTAATTGTAATTCAATAATTTGACAATTACACTAATTTACTTACTTTACAGACAATGTATTGAAAGATCCAGTAACAACCATAAGTAATGCTAAAACATATTGATAGTGTGTCCATGCCATTTTTAAATATTTTTAAAATCTCTAAAAACAAAATTTATAAAATTTATTAAAACACAATTATGCATTTAAATTATAATAATTTTAAGATATTTAAAACAATAATAGTGAATAGAATGTTAAATTTATATCTGTAATTACTAATTCAACAGAAGTGGAGTAATGTGATATGATTTCAAATGGAAAAACAATGCTATCACATATTTTTAGAAATAATTTCACTAATTTGATTATAGAATGTATTCTCTGTATATCTAATATTTTAATTAGTTTTTAGTATTTTAGTAATTTTTTCAGTAATTTAGTAATTAGTATTTAATTAAAAAAATAGTTTTGTTTTAATGTAATATAAAAGTTAGAGATGACTTATATTTCAAAAAAGCTATATATTTATACATTGATTGCATATTACAGAAATTTCATATTTTCATATTCAGTATTAGAGAAATATCATAAAATTAAAAAGTCGTTTAAAATTCATAATACTATGACTAAATTGAAAGTTCAAGAATACAACAGTGAAATGACTCATTGTGCAAAGATAAACGTACAAAAATGTCCAACAGGAGTCAGCAAATATTTTTATTATTACAACATAGCTCGCAAACACGATAAATCATTCTTACTTCAAATATTTCAATGTTCTAATTTAAATAAGTGAAAGGTACGAGAATTTAGATTTATCGAACATACGTACATACAACAAAATGTCAAGCAACATTTCAACAAAGAAACGATTATTGAAATTTTGAAATACAATTGTCATCTATACAACTGAGATATAGACAATATTTTTATAATGAAGATTCGTAAACATATGATGATAATATGTATTGAAACAATGACAGAAGTGAAAGTTTGTGAAAAACCATCAAAACTCCTGTTACATGCGTAAAATGTAATTAAACGCCTTTATCGTTCGAATGGAGTTGGCGATAATTCTTTTTAAACTTTTATACCGTTATTACCGCTGCTGCAGATGTATTTGTCCTTATTTATGATAAAAAGAGTAACAAATTCGAGCTCATTGCACGGAAATGACAAAGACACGATAAACAAATATCACCAGTTAATGGGTAACATTGTTACTGAAACTGGAATGAATAAGCTGAACATATCAAATTCAGCATGAAAGGTTCTCAACTTCAACAACCTTTTATATATTGCACCACGCAATAATGAATAAATGATTTATTGCGCTATAATAATAGGTTTCTTTTACTACATAATAAAAGAAATATATATAGATATGCAGAAATACATTTACTTTTCTGAAATTATAAATGTGACACTTATACAATTTAAAGAATACATACTTTAGTTATAATACGTCCTTTCTTTTTGTCATACCCAATAATTTTTGTAAATTATTATGACAAAAAGAAAGAACGTATTATAACTAAAAATATACACTTAATATAGGTATTCTTCGAATTGCACAAGTTTCGCTTCTTGAATGAAACGCATAGACTGAAATATCAAAACGAAAAATTATTACGATTATACAAATATACAATTTCAGAAAAGCAAATATATTTCTTTAATAATTGACATTTCATATTTACATTCGTTTGAAATTTTCTCTACGATAAATTGTCGTAAATACATTATTGTCAATTTAAAAATCTCGCGGGAAACTAAGAATTACTTTTTAGCTTTGTTGAAAACAGATCTTTATTCCAGGTTCATACAAGCGTTTGGTTATCTACAAATCGTTCAAGGAATCAAATCTTTATTTACACGTTCAGTTTTTGAGCTGTAGAACGCAAAAAATATGTGAATGTTAAGAACAGAAGCTTGCTGTTCCAAGCAATAAGCGATAACATCGTGCGCGTATTTTGACACTATCAGCAGACAAAAAAGCATGAAACTAAAGTAGAGAAAAAGAAAAAATATATATATCTATGTACTTGTATTGCATCTATCGTACAAATATACAAAAATTTAATACGAAAACATAATGTCATCATCAGATAATAGTAAAAAATTATCCGAAGTTTTAGAGTTATTTCTATTGCCTAAATACAACATCGTCTCTGTTACTTACCTCGATCTTCTACTGTCTCACATCTCCGATGATATTAAAGAGTGTAAGAAAATTATTTTATAAATCATATTACAACACATAGTAAAGTTATTACGAAGGATTCATTTTTTTTTTTCTTTTAATTACGTTTTTATTTATCATCATATAATCTGTATTTCATCATATATTTTATTTTTTAGGTAATGCAAATAATTATGAGAGTTGCGAACTATTTCAAAAATGGGTGTTAAAAGCACTAAACACTTGGAATACCGAGTGCCTTCCTTCTCAACCTATAATTACATTTACATTGAAACTTGTAGGATTAGTTTCACACAATGAATTAAGATTTCATTATTGGCAATTTAAGAATGTATACAATAAATTATGTGATATTTTTAATCTGCATAAAGATGACTTACCAGTGTCTATCAAAATGGCTTATATCACAATGTTAATCACTTTGATCAAACACAAAAGTGGTAGACAATGGATAATAGATTCTAGTAAGTAATATATTTTTTTAACGTGTATATAAATTATAATTAAGGTAACAAAATATATACTTCACAGGTGCTTGGAAAGATGTTGTAAAGTATGCTCATTGGAATCACACGTTATATGTCACTCATGAAAGTCATAGATTTTTATGGCTTTTGCTCTTACATGAACAACAAAATGTTGATTTTTGTAAAGAAGTTATTTTGACAATGAGTGCACCATTGATGACTAATACTATTGAGTCTCATACACATCAAGTGCTGCAAGATAATTATTTAGAAGAAAATAAATTATTATGTACGACATTAGATTTGTTAACGAACATCATTGAGAATACATTGTTTGCAAATATGGATAATACGATACCTGAGCTGTGTCAAGAAATCATTGATTTAGAAATGAGGATAAAAGCACTATTTGAAGCATGCATTAGTACAAAAGTTTTGTCACATATTCATAAGCTATTTATTTTATGTTTGTTCATCCCACTTAAAAGATTCATCAGAGAAGGAAAGAAAATAGAAGTTGAAACAAAGCAAAAGTTCTTCACTGATTTGAATTATATATTTTTAATGCTTCTATCTAAAGTATACATAGTAGAATTAATAAAGACAAACAAATTTTTAATGATATTTTGGAAGAAGTTACAATCATTGCAAGAATTTTCTTTCAATTATGAACATAAGTTTGAACTTCAGATTATAATTATAATGGTAAGTCAGATTATAGAAGAACTAAAAGATTTAAATACTTTTTTGTAGAAATATAAATTGTAAATAATTTAAACATTTTTTTGTGGTAATAGATTGTGCCTGTGAGTTTATGTATTAAACATACATATAAAGATTCTGATATTTTTGATATGTTTGTTTCTAAGATGTTTGATGTAACGTGTGTACCTATACAAAGGTTGGGATACAACATAAGAGATGTTGTACTTAAAAATCATGTACCTTTAGCACAGATTGCAAAAATAAATATTGACTTGCTCATAGAAATAACAGATATCATGGATAGGGTATGTATAATAAAAATTTCTAATGTTATATTATTATCAACATATATATAATAATTCTATATACATACATATGTATTCTCATATTAGGATATTGCAGTTATTGTATTTCAAGCACTGTGTCACGTATTAAAAAATTGTGTGCCAGATACATGCAGTGAAACTCTAGATAATATGACTAATGCAATACATTTGGAAAATGTATCAAGAAAACAAATACATAAATTTCCCTTAGAAGGAGATCCTATAGTTGATCATCCTACATTATTATTATCACTTCTAAATGGTTTAGCAATCATGACAGAAAAGTTTAAATTAAAATGGCAAGAATGTGTAGAAACTATATGCTTATTGTCATTAGGTCAAGAAATTTTAAATCATTCTGGAACATTACCTATAGTAAGTTTAGACATATTATAAAATGATTTGTAATTTCTGCATTATAAATGTGATTAAATTTTGTTCTCAGATTTGCGTGAAAGCTCTAGAAATATGTAAGTTAGCAATCCAGAATTTTATGTCACCCAATTTAGTACTGTTAACTGAAACAGATAGTCATATGAAAGAGATTGGACCAACATTGTTTAAAAGATTACATGATGTAAATTGGGAAGTAAGGGATAGTGTATTGGAAACCTTAAATACTATAGCTGTAATCTCAGAGGATAGTAAGTAATTATTTATAACAAGTGTTATTTCAATATATAACATATATAAATATTTGCAGAATATCCAACATTCCAAGAATATTTGTTGGCAAATGAGTTTTTACAACTGGCAGTTGAAATTGCTAAGACAGATAGTGAAAGCTATGTTCGGGCATCTGCTTTAGTATTTCTTTCGACAACTGTTCGTATAAATAAATTGTGGGAAGAAAAATTGTCGCAATTCGATTTACCAGTACGTGTGGTTAAGACACATAATATAATTTTCGATTGATGTTTAAAAATAAAACAATATTTCTTTGTTTCAGAATACTGCAATAATTCTGCTCAACAATGAGAGCGAGGGCATAGTCAGAAAGGAAGCGGTAATTTTATTGAAGGAGTTATATGTACATCGTAAATGGCCGTGAGTAATGTTATGCAAAATACTACTATCAATTATTCCAATGTTATTGATGGTGTAATTATTATTTAGAAAAAATATCATTGATTCAATGATATTGGCAATGGCAAAAACTGCTGTGCTTGATCTTCATTGGGAAGTAAAGATAAACGCTCTCGAATATTGGAATCATGTTATAACCTCGCATTTATCTGATCAAGGTGTACTTGATGGTCATTTCCCGAAAGTAACATTTTCAAAAGAAAACAGGAAAATTGTATCTTTAAATGAAACTGAGATAAAACGAAGGCTTAATAAAGCATTAGATGAATTAGCAAAACAAAATTGCTTGGGTGTAAGTAAATTTATATAATATATGTACTTCTTCATCAATAAATCATATTTTGCATTGTATTTTAGGTCCTTTTGGTTACTTTAGAAGATAGCGATTTTGAAGTGTGCAAAATGTCGGCAGCTATAATAAACAAATTAAAAACATTCCTTCTAAAGTACAAACTTAACGAACCTTTACCAGCGTTGCCTTTACCCAAAGACAGTGCTACCTTTGATGCCTCTTACATTAAATACGAGTCACCGACTAATGATGCAAGTTCCAATTGCGAGATGCTCAATAATTCTAATAATGTGATCGAAGAAATTCTAGACGTTAATGATGCAAGTCTACTTGCTTCTATTTACAACAATTCTACGAACGTCGATAGTAAACCGCAAAAATCAGAGAAGAAAACATTTCAATATATTTCTTGTGTGACTAGGCAAATTTTTCTTCAAAAAATTTTTGATATGAATATTGATGCATATATTGAAGAGAAAGATCGGTGGCTAGCTACATATACCACAAGTTTTGAGTCAGTGTTGGATGATATATTAACGATGTACAAAAAGGAAGATGTTAATTCAATGGACTGTTATTAATTGAGTATAAATTACTTAAAAATTTAGATTTTATTTCTATACAAGTACAAGTGTGGTATCCAGTTTTCTGAATTTATAAAAAAGTTAAGATTTTGCGGGATACATCACATCATAATCAAAACAAGATTATATCACGAATTTTGTAATTCACAAAATTTTATTACAAGTACATTTACGTCTTACATAGAAAAATTTACAATATACTTTCTGATAAGATTTGAGTAATAAAAATAAAACGAATTTTCATGCATTACTTATTTATAGCATAAAATGAATGAATATTTACGTATTTAACATATGACGAAACATATTAAAATTGTTATACAAATTGTTTACGTGTATAAAACATTTTTGTTAATAAAAAGAAAATAAAAAAATTTTTTGTTTATGTTTATATTTATACTTAAATCTGGAAAGTAACAAACTTAATTTAAGAACTAATCGAATTTCGAATATAAAAAAATTATTATTTACATTATTTATACCTCATTCAGTCTTCATATTTCTCTGTATAATCAATGCATATATTTTCTTTAAAGAAAATTTGCAATATCAATTTCTACTGATTGAGGATAAACATTTTTTTCATCAGCAGACATTTCTTGTTCGTCACCACTTACACTAATAATAGAATTCCAAGGAGAATTATTGCATGATGAATAATACGTTACAACACTGTTATCTGTATCGGTGTTAACAACTTTCAATGATGCAACCTCAGTTTTGTCCGTATCTTTTATTTCAGTTTTTGTCTTTGATGAAAAAAATTCTTTATTAGTATTGGTATTATTAGTAGTATTGGTAACTGAATCTGTATGATTCCAAAATGAGGTCGTTGCTATTTGGCAAGGCTCAATTTTTACATGTTCGGCAGGTTCATTCTTTACTCCGATAATCTCGTCAATTTGATTCCTTGTTAATAAATTTCTCTTTAACAGATCTGTTTCTTTTGTACCTGTTATATGTTTTTTCTTCCTTCCTCTACGTTTCTTTCTACTCTTACTTAAATCCCAACAAAGACTTTCAGTGATATTAAAAAAGTCTTCGTCATTTATTTCCTTTCTTTGATACAATTCACGTTCCCAAGCAATAAATTGAGTACAGTTTATAGAGCAATTATCATGGGTGAATTTTCTTGGTGAACTCGTCACTTTATTTTTATATTTATATTTTGATTCGGGTTCAATGAAAACATGATTGCATATATTTTCATTATTATTGTTATCACCTACATTTATAGGTTGCAAATATTTCTTTTCTGTGAATTTCGTATTATTCAAGATTTTGAAGCCTTGGAGATTAATAATAGTTTGTGATAACTCTTTTAAACTGTGATGTTCTATGTGATGATTATGTAAGTCCACAACAGTGGCATTTGACTGATGACAAATAATGCATTCATAGAGCACAGACATTCTGATACTCTATTTTCTCTTCAATTCTACCTTCATAAGATAAATCATATATAGAATATTAAGAATAATATATTTAAAGTGCGTATAATAAAGTTCTTAATTATTTACTAACAAAATAAATACTTTTAAATACAGCAGTTTAAAAAAAAGAAATAGTAATAAAGTTGAAGATTTACCTTCAAAAGATCGTGGTAGGTTATATAAAAAAAAAAGAAATCCAAATAATTACAGACAATATTCGATTACACGTGGACGTAACGTATTTGACAACGTTTATCACATAACAAAATTTTGTACAAATGATATAAATATTAAATAAGTTTATCGTAATTTAAATAACATAGTCTATTCACTATGTTCAGCGTCCACGTGAGGATCTATGGTAATATGCCTATGGTAGATGGTAAGGTGTGCATGCATATGTATCGACAACAACACGCGTGAAATGAAATATACTATGAAGTAGAAAATATTATCGTAATATAAAACGTAGTTTATATTAAAAATTATTTTAATGATCTTCTTTTTTTTAACAAACGAAATGTTTTATACGATAAATCGGCAAATGTAAATTGCAAGTCTTAAACAACGCAAATTTTTGTTTACAAGTGAAATTATTAATACAAGTACAATTCGAATTGTTTCTTTTCTTTTTTTCTTAAAGATAGATTAACAACAAACAAATGATAATTGTATCATTTATTTCTTAATTGTTTATTCACTGATCGTTATATAAGGTAGGATGTAATTTCTTCTAATACAGTAATCGATTGCGTTGCAATAAATGAGAGTGTTACACGGGACGTTCCTGTGTGTCGGTGTTATAAATAAAAAGAAAAAAAATTGCAAAACTTAAATAGCCAATGATTAAATTTAGACTCCAACAATCGTACCGTTTGCATGAGTATCGGAGCATGCATCGCGAATATCAAGATGGTATGAGATAAATTTCAGTGACGATTCGCGTGCCATGATTGGCCGGCAATTGAGAACAGGTCAATAAGTGCACATTTTCGCATCGCGAAAGATACGATTACACGAGCCGACGTGCGCATGCGCGTCGTTTGATTCTCCTCACCATAATTCGGCGCCAGCTTTCAGTCACGCGTAATCCTCCGGAGGGGAGTTGTACGAGAGATTTGTTTCGTGATTACTGTGGGAAAGGAAAGGAAAAAAAGAAAAGAAAAAGAAGAAACTATTTCGAGTTAAATTTAGTACAGCGTATTAGATAAAAGGCAACAAGTGCAACGTTCACCGATTGTGTATGAAGCGGTTGTGTGCGTACAGGCGTAATCATGTCTTTCTACTTTCGCGACCGACCGAAATTCGGCGATAGACTACGTGGTAAATCCGGCGACGAACTTTTACAGGAGATTAAACAACAATTTGAAGAAGATAACAAATCATTCTTCGAGCCTGCAAATAGATCGGGACGGGACCCTTTTGAACGACACTCCACTTTCTCAAGGGTGAGTCCTCTCCTCTCTATAATATAAACTTTTGTTATTAAAATCAAATCGTGCGAGTCGAAGGAACCGGCTTCATTGCTGAACTTAAGAACTAACTTTTTGAAATGATCTTTTTATTCGTGTGAAAAGTTTTAACTTTAAGCATAAGAATGATATAGGTAAAATTCGAATATCAAAAAGATATTATTACATGTTGTATTCTATGTAATATTGCAGTATATTATATATGCTCTATATAACGATCTAACCTCAAAACATCTCCCTTGACATTTCAACTATAAAATTAATGAAACAGCGTAAACCATTGGAAAAGAAACAAAGTCAAGAATCCTGACAGTAGTATTGGGACAGATATCAGAATCATTAAAGTGCACTAGAACCTACAAACTATCAATTTGTTTGTGGGATAAATAAAAGGTAACATCTAGTTGTTCATGGGAATTAAGAATGTTCTAATTGAATTAATTCTTTTCATCAAACTTCTTTTTGAAATTATCATCTTCTCACCCTCTCGTATTAAGAAATTTGAAAAAAATACATTCCTTCTTGTACGATTTGAACGTGTACGAAAATTTCTTTATTTATAGAGTGGCCCAATTTCTGCGCCGTTTCACCGGTATGTATTTAGTTTTCTCTGCTTGCCGGTTATTCTTGTCACAATGCCGAAATTTTCAGAAGGCAAAAAGTGAAAATACCGGTTATCAGTATTTTTGAGTACACCATGGTATGTAAAAATTCGAACATTGAAAGAAAAAAAAAAATATATATATATATACAATCTATATATATATATATATATATATATATATATATATATATATATATATATATATATTCAATTGTATGAAATTCGCATTCCTCGTCTATTGCATACACTGTAAGAACAATGCAAGAATTTGGTATTTATTGCACCGAATCACCTGTTTCGTATTGTCAACGTGCCAATTATCATAGTTCATGGCGGTCGCGTGACCGTTACAGCTGTATCGGTTACTGTGAAAACTTTCCAATTATCTTATCGTTGCTCCTCGTCTCAACGCAATGCGTATTATCGCGCATTATTAAAATAAATGACAAAAAAATTTTCAGTTTGTTCGACACCGTGTTACTTACTTCGGTTCAAACTTTGACCTTGGTTTTATGTAAACAATACTAACGATTCGATTATTTCGGCAATCCTCGAATTGAAATTGTCTCATTTAATGTCGCAGTAATTATTGTATTATTTTCTTATCGACGATATAACTTTAGATTTTTGTTGCAAAGATACAAAAGAACATGGGCTAGTGTTCCAACGAGAACTTTACTAAAAGAAGACAGAATGTATAGTGGCAGATGAATTTTGTAACAATGAAAAAATTATATATATTTATATACATGCGTAGATACACTTGCTAATAGCAAAGCCTGGGATTATAATAACATAATAATTGTATGATGCCAGACAATAAGATAGTTCTAAACTCATGATATTATATATTATTTCAGTAACATCTTTGATAAATGAACTGATTCATAAATTGATTTGTGTTCATAGAGAAAGTAACCTTATCTATCTATTGATATTGATCTATGTGAATGTGAAGGAAGTTTTAAGCAGATGAGAAGTTTTGCAGGAGTGACATGGAATTACAAATTGCTCGTATATAAAGGAGAAGTAAAAGTAAAAGGAAAACAAGAATTGATGATTCAAATGGAATTGGCCATGGTTTCCCTCCTTTTTTGTACGTTCTCGTTTCATTTGACTTCGATCGCCATCTTGGTGCATAATAAACAAACAAAATATATGATAAATAAATCGAGCTGCCTTCTAGAAGAGAAAGGCATCTATCAGTGATTGTTGATTTATGATGGCAAAAATTGCTGTCAGCCGATCATCAGTTGGATAAAGAGATCTTTATCCAATTCTTAAATACACTAAGGATGTATCATGACAATTTTCTTCTGAGAAGTATTATTATTTTCCGTCTAATTACACTTATGTCTTCCATGAAATTTCTGACTTTATTCCAAAGCATATGGAAGCGTAAGATTTCCACGGTAATCAAAAACGTAATTCTTATTTCTGTTCATCAACATGGTATCTATAAACACTGTTCCTAGAACAAACTAGTGTTTAAATGATACGTTTATCGAAAAGCAGATTTACACAGCAGACAATTGTTGTTTTTAACGTATTTTTTGAGGAATACAAGAAGTTTTAAAATAACATTGATACAGGAAATGCAAAGATTCTCAGGTAGTATTTCAAATACTATGAAGTAAAAGCACTATGATTTTTAACTCGCTGAAAAATATTGGAGCTTAATAGATTCATACAAAACCGAATGATTTTTGTCAAATGTGCAACGAAGGATAATTTGAGCTTGCAGAGAGCTTGTCCCTGGAGAGAGTGCTGTTCTAGTCGCAGAAGTGTATAGAGTCAGCGGCTATTAAAACCACCCCTATTGCATTAAACGTCCCTTCTAAGAGAAAGAGGGTGATGACGTACCGATATACAAGCACGAAATGAGATCAATATGGTACATGTGCGGTAAGTTTCGTAAATCTACCGTCGAAAGTGCTCACTCCACGATCGGAATGATATCGTTTCGGCTTTTCGAAAGCGCAGACAGATTCGGCAGAGAACCCAGAAATAACATGTTTGTTGCCAAACGTCTGCCGGGGAGATGACTTGCCGCTTACTCGCCATGCCATAAACCCTTCTCTGTTTTTAGCAATAAAACGTTTCATTGATTGGTTGATAAGATCGCTCTGACGAATGGACGTTTCTTTCGATGAAGAAAATGTGACGCCAGAATGTGCGTCGCTTCGTTGCAATCCTCTTTGGATTATTAGAAGAATATTAAGATAGAATAATATACGAGATAGTGCTCTTTGATTTTAATTAATTGATTAATTCAATAGACGTGGAATTAATTTAAAAATATGTCAAATATCTTAGAAACAGAGGACTGAGTTCGAAGTATTTCTTTTTCATTTTTTGAAGATAAATTAGGGGTGATGGAATTTACTAAGTATAGATGGAATTTACTTGTAGAAAAGAAGGAATAAATATCTTAGACACGTGATTAAGATATCACTGAAAGTAGCGTGATAACCATCTGACAATTGTACGAAATATAACGCGTGCGTGGAAAGTGTCAGAGATCGAATGGACGGACTATTTTGGATCGAATGGTTCTTGATTTGGAATGGCGAGAGGGAATCAATGGCGGCTATTTTCAGAGGTCTCAGCGTCGTCGTCGAGAACGTTCCTACGTCTCCGAACATGCCGATGATGTTCAAAGATTGCGAACATTGCTTCATCATGTGCATCTTGGTAAAAGAAGAAGTCAACATTACTCTACAATTCCTGATAAAATATTTCATTCCGTATTTCCACCTTTACTGTGTATATTTTTCCTTCTTAAAAAATTATCATCTCTAGCTTGGATAAAAAAATGTTGTTCTTCTACTATCTTTGTTTTTTTAAGAAGCGATGAAGTATTTTACGTGGAATTCTGTCAATATATTATATTTCTGTGTCTTTAAAAGAAATTTACAAATATTTTTTATGAAAAAGGAAATATTAAGTTCAACGTCTAACGGGTGAGGAAGCACAATAGAAAACGTTTTGATATAGAGTAGTCGTCCGTCTGATCCCCGCACCAATATTTACTCTAGAAAGATTGCTGTCGATTTTCTCATATTTTCTTTTTTTTTTACGGTTCCCATTGATTCCCCTATCTTGGATATGACGTTGGAAACTTTATAGGGAAGGCGATGCTTGGTGAATGTAGAAGTATACTGGAAAAATATTTTATTGATTCTTCACGAAAAACTCAGCTCATCTCGTCATGTGATCATTCTTAAGGACAATTTGCAATACAAAGATTCTCTAAAGATTAAGGAGATACAAAGATCCCTTCGAGCGTTGACAATTTTTTAAT